GGGTGGGCTTGGTGAGGCCAGGTTGTTGTTTTTCGCTACGGTCGCGAGGGTTAAGCGAGGGTTGAGGGGTGAGGAGATCACAACTCAGGGACTAGAGCGTGAATAACTTCGCGTACGAACAGATGTGCGATGAGATACCAATAGATTACGCGGTCTATTGACATACAGGATCGTGTTCGAGTAAAAGTTTTATCGGAATAGCAGGCCAAAAGTTTGTTGTTCGAAAGTTTTGGTTTTGCGAGGAGTACAGAAGACGTTGCGTAAGGAAAGAAGAAGAGAAAGGAAAACAGGAACGAGGCGAGGGAGAGCCCTCTAATATACCCAAGGAAATCCTACGATGACTAATCCAAAGTGACTCACACCGCGCAACCGAACAGAAATACATAGAACACGATGGAAACCTCCTGACTAATCCAACTCAGCGTAACCTAACGACTCCGTCAACCGATCCATGAAACTATGCCTGGGAAGTCTACAATAAGTGAAAGCTCTACAGCAACGATTAAGCTTACACTTGAGCGGCAGCTCTTTCATGCGGGCTCCAGTTGTGTGGCAACTAAGGCTACAGGTATTACAAAGGCTTTGACTAAGGGTGGTTGACTTCGGAAACGGAAGCACTCGCTGACACTTAGAGAGAAGCGGGGTAACGATGGTATTGCTTCCCTTCCGCTAGACGGCAGCACCGGAACTTAGTAAGGAAGTAGGAGCAGAGAATAGAGTCCTTTGGACTATAAGTACTCAGGATCATTCCTGCCCGACTCTCCTGATCCTCATCTTCATCAATCGGTAGCAAAGCCTTTAAAGATTATTGAGTTCCAGCGATAGTATTTTTGAATAAATCTGTACCTGATTTCTATTTTGCACGGCCACATCTTTCTATCGGATTCTAGTGGTATGTGGAAAGACTGTCTCCGTTACAGTCCCCTACTACAGATTAATCTACCAGTCTTTAAAACTACCTTCTGTACCCTGCAGCACACTATCTAACTATGATCCTGTTGAGATGAACCTATACATACTTTATTAAAATCTCATCTCTTATTCTTTTCAACTTGAATAATTATATATACGGCTAACAGGTAATAATCTGATTGAATCCTGTTTTGAATACCGAAAAGAGATAGGAAAACCTTTTGTATATAGTCTTGAATGTTCTCAATAAATATACCAAAGTTTCTTCAAAACCTATTGTGATAATCTGATTTAGAAAATATTTGTCAAAGATAAACCTCATATATTACCATCGATAAATAAACACTGGCAAATCTTTTGATAGGCTTATTTGTTTCTATTTGAAGAATATTGTTATTTGAACAAAGGTTTATATAGTTTGGGAGTTTTGTTGACATTTTTGGGAAAATGATCTTTCCTGTTTTTGGTTATTCAACCATGTAGGTGTATCCATGCTTAATAGGGAAACTAGTTTTCCTTTGAATTTAAGGGTTTTTTGACCAAACAGTCCTAACTTAACCCTGATGAAATTTTGAACCTAGTCTTTTGCCCTCTGAGAAATGGGGGTTGCAACTATGGAGGCAATCCTTTTAGGATAACATCCCCCAAAGTGCTATCTCAGCTCACTGGTCTGACTCTTCAGCCTGTTGTTTAAGTTTTGCTTTTGTTTTGGTCACAAAAAAAGTACTGGACCATTTTCTAGTCTTCATTTTCAAGAATGAGTGGCGAACATGTCGCTGTGACTGAGTGGTGTTGTGCATGGTGAGGAAGACTGTGAAGAAAGGGAGAAAGTTAGTCTTTTATAGTGCGAATTTTCCCCGCCACCCGTTTTCTATGTTGGCGCAAGCATACCTTTTTGAAACAATAGGGGATGGAGCTAGGGCTCAGAGGGTTTGGAGTCGAGCAGCGTTGTTACGAATTGGGTTCCGAGGGTCAGGAAGCCTCTTCCATCCGATGTGTAACACACGTATACCAACCCTGATCCGCCCCCGCTAGCTCACCTTACGGTCTGACCTCGCCGCGCTCCCGTGTTGACATGCTAAACTAACCCTAATGTCATTTGCGAAGTCACCTATGAATGAGGCACCGACTCTGTTGCAACGAATGGGCACCGTCATGTAGTACCTCTCACGAATCCTACCAATTACACCGCCTTAATCCCGCTGTCAACGATTCTCGAAGGGTGTTGCAACCCTTTCTCTTTCTGAATGCATCTCTTTCCGTTGTCTACCTGAATCTCTTACCGCATTCTCTTACACTCGCTCGAAGCTTGGTCACTGACTCACGACCATCATTTGATTAGCGCGCTCGTCACCCAACGCTGGGAGGACAACTAAACCTAAGTAGCCCTAGGTAACCCTAGATAACTCCTTGATAACGGCACATAACGCTAGGTAACACGACACGATCTCACGTTCCCCAAAGCCATGGATTGCACCAACGAACCTTTTTCAACTTCCTGACCCTCAGCGTAGTTGCGAGACACTGACGTATAGCAAGTACCTACCTGGCACCTTGTCCAAACTAAGCACGTTGATCTCACTAGGCGGGAGAGTATATATGTGGTGACGAGTTAGCCGCACTTAGAAGTTTCAAAGAGTGGTTTTGTTGAAATAGCGGATAGTGTTGGGCACGAGCCTGTTCGAGACGAGCTTGAGTTAGAGCTCGAGTTGGCTCGGATTGTGCAAACGAAGGCTTGGGATGTTCGAGCTCATGAGTATGGCTCGAGCCTAGGCTCGAGCTCCAATTAAAGAGCTACAAATGGTCATCTCGAGATAAGTTTCACTTTTAAGAACGAACTCAAGGGGTTTATCTTCGTTATATTTTCAAATTTTGCCATTACTGATTGTCCAAAAAGGTCGAGCCTAAGCTCGAGTCTTTCTAATACTAGTTCGAGCTGGCTTGCGCTCGTAAGGAGGAGAGCTTGAGGTGTTCGAGCCCAAAGCCCGGCCCGCGCCCAACACTAAATAGCGGATTCTACAGTAACTGAGGTTAATAGCTACATGATACGGTACTTTAACAATTGCACGGGCTTACAATGGCACTGACCTCTGTTATGGCGGAGCTCGAAATCGGCATATTTCTTCTGCTTGTGAACAAGTGAAACAGGTGGCTAATATATTACCCGCTTATGCCTTTGGCATGGATTGAAATCAGAGAAGTTGTGTTAGTTCACGATAATCATGCTCACACATAGCAAGTATTCTGCGTTACCTTGAGAAGATGTGGGATGCGAGGACCTTCCAGCACAGTTTCATATCTCGACAGCTACCTCATTCCACCATGTTATCTTGTGTGCGGGGGCAACCCTTCATGTCCTATACATCCCACTATGGCACCCAGTGTTTGGGCGGAACCAGATGTCACACGTAGTTTGGTAATATCTATCTGATGGTTCTGAAGGTCCTAGACATGGTTCCCTGGGTTGAGACGGTGGACAGGAGATTAAAATGTCAATTCTTTAACATGGGGTTAACCCCTCGTATCAACCTATTATTGTCACGAATGACCCCTTTCCTCCCCCTGTCTAATTATCGCGGTGAAGATTGAAGATTGAAGATTTGAAGAATGATGCCTTAGAGTCGGACTATTTTCCTATTAACATTAACATTAAGACATATGTAGTAAACCCATCCTAATGAGATCGCTCCCTTGATCGATCGAAACGCAACCGCCCACGGAACCGTTCATTTGTTTACGATATAACCCTTATTTACACTCGAACCATTGACAGTACCTGAGAACAGCACTAGTAATAACAGCACGAGAGAACGAAATAAAACACATGAAAACGGAAGGAACAACGAGCTAGGTTGAAGAAGCAATGGTATTAGAGAGGTAGGGTTGGTGTGTGACTCCTTGGGCGTTTACACGAGAGTGAGGTGTTAGTTGTTGTGATGACCTCACCGTGGATTAATCTAAGGGGGACATTACTTCACTTTTGGGAAGGTAGGGAGACAAAGAGTTCTCTTTTATTGACTGAATTATGTATCTAGTTACCAGGTGCCGATATATTATAGAATTTAAATTGTAATCTTACTGTTGAACATTTGACTCAGAGAGGGGTAGAATCTCAAATCATCTAGGAACGAGAGGTTTTACTAAACGGAGTCGATAGGTAGAAATTTCGAAGAAATGAGTGTGGTAATGAAAGGAGAGTTCCTGTTAACATATTTAGGAGAATTGTCTATAGAAAGGGATAGCTACTTCTACATACATGTGATTTATCAAAAAAACGTCGCAAGGTTATTAATTTGGACAGGAAAAATCTACTAATTCAGCAACTCGCGGGCAGGAAAAGGACTACCCCCAGTATACTTTACCGAGTTACAATAAATTCTCAGACTAAATGCTATACCGACTTTCTACTGCAGCTGTCCATTCTTATTAGTTCCACCTGTTCCACCTATCTCCACCTGTTTCATTTGTTAGTTCACTTCATTTCACGCGAGATGGAGAGCACAGTGGACGGTTGTTTTTGAGGCTAAAATGCCCATTTTCTCTTCATTTCATATCTTATCCGCGCCCCATTTAGGCTTGTAACTGGGGAAAACTTCCAAAACCCAGCTCGCGCGGAACACCTAGCTAGGAGGCTGGGGAACAGCGGATCCCCAGTCTCGATAAAAGTTTCGCTATTAAATTAGAATGACTACAAGAAAATAGGGAAGCGCATTGTAATGGCGAGAAGGGCATCCCATTCGGATCTACTGGACAGCCCAAAGGCTATCTTTCAAAAAGAACTCGCTGCTTTCATCTCGTCGTCAGTGCCAAAGAAAACTATTCTATATATAATAAAAGAGGAAGAAAATGTTCGACGAGAAGGGCATCCCATTCGGACCTACTGGACAACCCAAGGGTTATCTTTCAAAAAGAACTCGCTGCTTTCATCTCGTCGACCATGTATTGCCAAAGAAAACTATTCTATGATAAAAGAGGAAGTAAATTCGTTTCGTAATAAAATCATTGCCAAAGAAATGTCAGTCAATAGTAAAACAGTTCCATAATCATTTCCAGCGAAGAGAGTTCTAGCCAATGAAAAATCACTGATCTCAATCTTCTTGAATCTCAAGTCCCTGCAATTCCATCGAAAATCTCGCCCACATCTCGGCCGTAGCCCTCTGCATGTTGCTCTCCATTTCCGCCGAATTGGATCCTAATCCCTGCTGCTCCAAAGCCTTCACATAAGTATCCTTCGCCAAAAATCGGCACTTCTCATCACCGTTCCAGCTCTCGACCTGCCAAGCCTTGAAGTTGTCCTCATCTAAAATGTTGCAGTCGGCATTTTTTTCCAGCAGAATCTGGACCATGATGTGTTCGTGAAACTCGATCGCATAGTGCAAGGCAGTTCTGGCGTAGCAATCTTGCGCATTAAGATCAGTTCCAACCCATTCATTATTCGCATTGCGTTCGCACTCGGTGACACTGAGGATCATCGACCTATAGGCTTCGCCGATCGGGGTCATCTGGGGATTGAAAGTCGCGGTGTTCCTGCGGTTGCGGCTGCGATGAGGTCCATGTCTCGCGAGGTGGTGAAGAACAGTGCGCCCATCAAGATCAGTCGTATGAACATCCGCGCGGCGCGAGATCAATCTGTTCCAGATCCTAACAAAGTCAGCATGCCCATAATAGTTAGCAAAACCCCATTTCGAAAGCCAAGACAGAGGGAATGTTGAGTTCGCCTCATCGATACTATACTGGAACTTATCCTGAATATCTGCATCTCCATCGATGAGGAGATCAACCATGGGCCCGTTGAATGTAGTGATTGCGCACTCGATCAAGGGTGTGGTCAGATCCTCCCAGTGGTCGCTATCGACAAGATCGAGGAACTCAATCGCCATGTTCGTGTTCAGGAACAGGCAAGAGTAAGTGAATGCCTGCATGAACTGCCCCTCAGTGGCGTACTCTAGGAGATCATTGGCGGCATTCCAGCTGTCAATGTTGACAGTGGCCTTGAGAGCAGCAAGAATACTTTCGTGACCGGGAGTTAGATACTTACGTGCAAGGTTATAGACCACGCGCTCGTTCTCGACGATGAGCTTGACAATCGCGTAGGTCTCGGTGGGGAACTCCCAGGGGAGTGTCCTGGCATAGGTCGGCGGTGGAGGGAACCAGCAGGACATCTCGGCGTGGCCAGCATACTTAAGTCCATTCCTGAAGTTCTCACCGCCGAACTGGTTGAGAACCAGGAAGATGTTCTTGAGCTCGAACGACCGAATCGTCACATAGGCGGAGACGATGCTGTTCGTCCGCGGGATGAGGATCGAACGCAAGGACGCGGAGGTGTAGGCCAGAGTGGCCTGTTCCTCCACTTCGTCATCGTGCCCAGCGAGTTGTTGAATCACCTCCGTGGGGAGTGTGATGATGATGTTCCTAGGGGACATCTGAACTGAGGACTGCATAGCGAGGAGTCCGATCAGGCGTTGATTAAGCAGTTGACAAAGGCAAAGACGAGCAAGAGCCGATGAAGAATTAAGACAATGACTTTGAAGGATATCGAAGTCAGAGTACGCTTGGTGCTTAGAGGAGTGATGTGTAGAGGAAAGGGAGGAGAGGGGGAGGAAGGGGATATATATACTAGCCATCATTGGCCTTACGCGTCTTGGCATCACTGCCCGACGCATAGGGTTAGGGTATGGCGGCCAAATCACCGCATCAGCCGCGGGGGGGGGGACAGAGTGTTAACCCCGCGGGCGGGGAAACCTAGTCCTGGGCACTAAACCCTAACCCTGGGGGCGGCGAAATATCGGGCCTAGAGTCGGCTAAATCTAGCCAACTTCCTATCGGCAAACTTCCTATCGGCAAACTTCCTATCGGCAAACTTCCTATCGGCAAACTTCCTATCGGCAGCATCGAAGGAAACAGCTAGAAACGGATCTAGCTAACAAACAAGCCATTGATGGATGATTTTTCGATCTAGCCAGGGGTGCCATTATCAACTCCGAAGCGTGAGATCGAAAATCGAAGAAAAGGAGTGAAGGCACCACGAGAATCGCTACACTTCGAGCGCTAGTCACTAAATCCCTTGATAAAGGTCACAGAGTATCAGTTCAGTGCTATCGAAGAATGAGTCATCAAGCAACAAATCCATTATTCTTGTAATCAGATACCTTTTAGTCAAGTGAGAATCCATGACCGCAGTGCAGCCCTATTGCTACCCGAAACCATACCGAAGTTCGGATCTGAAGTAAATGAACCCGACCGTTGGTAGTGTGCAGAATCATGCAGAATACGGTAGAATATTCCTTTGTTTGCTAGAAATCGCCCTATTCCAAGCCGTTCTAGAACATTCGCTGCCTGTGAGGTATTTCCATTGGTTTCCAGTGTAATTTCACACAGTATCTATGTTTTGTCTGTCTCGCAACCAACACAGGTTGTTTATTTCTGTGTTTAAGGGTATTTCCTATCTCCGCAAGGCTCCTTGGTTTATTTGCAGAGTGCCTTTTGGCTTTTGATTCCGTGGTCCCAACACAACGTTTCAGATAAGGTGGTCAGGGGTCGTCGCGTCGTGCAGACATCTTCCTTTCTCTGAGTATATCAGTATATTTGTTCCTCAGAGCCACTCGCTGCAGGTATATAATCGGCGGGGAGATCAATCGGCCCTAACCCTAAAGTGTTTGTATACGTTGTTTTACAGATGACTCCCGTGTCCTTGGACACTGTACCCGAGCTGAAGGATCCACCGGCTAACGCAAAAGTCACGCGGAATGCGTCAGGAGCTAAACTCGATGGGCCACACCCCACAGCCCGATTGATGAAGAAACCTCGCCTCGAGAGGATCCAATCACGGCGGGCAGGTGCAGGGACGGAGCGCTACGGGGACATCGAAATGGTAGAAGGCAAAAATATAGTCTTGCTAGTACGAAGCGATGGCGTGATGTGTTACAGGAACTACGGAACACTGTTCTAGAGGCTTAGGACAGTGAGGAATACGAGTGACGGGTTGTGATGTGAAGGACGGTCGGGTAACGGAAGGACAAGCATAGAAAGGTATCGGGTAGTTTGGGGGCACGCGGTGTTACCACAGTAGTACTATACTACTATGACGGCACGCTTACTATTGGGTGTCTCACCCGAAATAGAATAGGAAGCGGGGCTTATGGCTGTAGGCTGTTCTACTTAGGGAAGTAGGTCTAGGATAATAGTATGGTACAGCCCGATGACTGGCAATTGCAAGGTTCATGGTTACATGTCGGAATTAGAATGGAGGACGGAACTATGCGGGGGCGCTTTTCTATCTGGGTTATCTTCGGGAGCATTATCTTATTCTATTATCGTTGTATCAGTTAGTATTAGAAAGCGGGCCTTGGCATAGGTTCCCACATGTATAAATAGGGCTGGATTCTGCGAAGACTTGAGGGTATCATCAACCACCAAGTCAAGGGAATCCGGTTTACAATATCATCAGTTTAAACGCTACAGAATTATCGCTTAGCACTGGCTATTTCCCCAAACATGATGGCGCGATGCTTTTACCTTGTTGCTATGTGGCCGGAGGCGGGCTTGCAAAGTTGTTCTCACCGGAGGGCCGGGGATCACCAACCCCAGGGGTCGGGCAACGGTGTTTAGATCCAGAGATAATATATAGGCCCTAAGCCAATCTAAACTAACCGAACAAGCGACATAGAAGGTTGTTTTCCCTCCCCTTCAGAGCAGCACTTGGCGCTAAACAGTTTCCCTGAACCCTAACCCATACAACAGTTACAAAAGTGTTACTCCCGGTTTTACCATGCTGCAAGAGGTGCTTAAAAGTATGAGCAGAGTACAATTCCGACGTAGTTGTTCTAGAGTATGTACAATATCAGCACGTTTCAATCCTAACACCATTATAAACACTACAGCCTAAGAGTGAAAGAGGGGGGGCGACGGAGAGGGCGTTAAACACTAGGTGAAGACCCTATACTTCAGTTCCGATCAAGAGACTAGGTTAGTGGGACTGTTTTTTCATGATATGGGGAAGTGGGGCTGTGGAATTCGTGGTATTTTGGCCGCAGACGGGGACATGCAATCACTTGAGATATCGTCGGGGGGTCAAGCGGCGGTGGCTTGGGCATCCTGTGAATTCAAATTTTACCCGTGGGGCCCAAGTATATCCGGAGGTCTTCCTCGCGTCTGAAACGATGTGGGATTCCGGAAAACACGCCCTAGAACAAGCGCTCTCAGTGTAATCTCCACCATTTTTGGGTGCGATTGCATGGGAGTTACTTACTCCATACGCTTATTTTGGTGTCTTTTTCTTTTGTCTCTGGCCATAATAAACCATAAATCGTGTTTGAGAGCAATACTTCGCCTATCAAGATCCGGTGAAGGCCCTGCTATTCCGGAACGATATATGTAGTTGTAGATGTCGATGTTTGGAGGGACACTTGTTCATGTAGAAGGTATTGAGTGTCACTAAAGCCACCCGGACGCTGGCACCTGTTGCAACAACACCTTGTGACGTGAAAACAAAGATCTCGACACTAACCTTTTTCACAACCACGAGAGAGAAGATAAAAGTCTCCATCTTTGTTTCTCTATGTCTCTGTTATTGTTGGTTGATATGAGAAAAATTGGTGTACTTTCAATATTTCGTTGGTGCACGCAATCTACACACTGGTTGTTGCCCGGATAGTTTTATTGATACTCCTTCAATAATATCTTGTCACACCTTACTCACGCCTCTATCTACCTACTTGAACACACTTTTTAACTACAAAAGTCACAGAGCACGGCAAGGAAAGAATAATATCACAAAGACATTTCTTTATTGGAAACCTAGCTAACTAAACTCATCTGACCGGATTATTGCTTGTCCCAATTACACCCCAATTTCCGGCCACCGAAGCAAAGCTAAGCTGCCGCAGTCCCGAATTCTTGCAGTTCTTGCGCAAACACACCTAAACGCTCCATGATATTTGCGTCATCCCGCTCTCTAGTGAACCACCCCGAGTTGCCCCACTCTTCCTCAGCCTTGAACGGTGTCTGAAGCTGCTCGAACGCCTTCTCCGACACAGTGCGTGCGAGGTCGACGTATAATTTGTCGCCATTCCAGTTCTTAAGCTCCCAGGCAAAGTTTCCGCCCTGGTCCTCGATGCTGCAATCGGCACCCTTTTCCAAGAGGATCTCGACCATGATCGGTTCGTGATGTTTGACGGCCCAATGGAGAGCTGTCTTGCCGAACATATCCTGATGATTAAAGTGCGCGCCAGTGAGGTTACCGTATCCGTCTTGTGCGCATTCGAGGACACTGCGGATCATGCTTCTGTTACAGGAACTACGGAACACTGTTCTAGAGACTTAGAACAATGAGGAATACGAGTGACGGGTTGTGATGCGAGGACGGTCGGGTAACGAAAGGACAAGCATAGAAAGGTATCGGGTAGTGTGGGGGCATGCGGTGTTACCACACTAGTACTATACTGTTATGACGGCACGCTTACTATTGGGTGTCTCACCCGGAATAGAATAGGAAGCGGGGCTTACGGCTGTAGGCTGTTCTACTCAGAGAAGTAGGTCTAGGATAATAGTATGGTACAGCCCGATGACTGGCAATTGCAAGGTTCATGGTTACGTGTCGGAATTAGAATGGAGGACGGAACTATGCGGGGGCGCTTTTCTATCTGGGTTATCTTCGGGAGCATTATCTTATTCTATTATCGTTGTGTCAGTTAGTATTAGAAAGCGGGCCTTGGCATAGGTTCCAACATGTATAAATAAGGCTTGATTCTCCGAAGACTTGAAGGTATCATCAACCATCAGTCGGGTGCAATCCGGTCGACAATATCACGTGAAAGGAACAAGCCTGAATGGCCAACCGAGTAAGGGTATTGTAACGAGGTAGCCGAAGATGATGAAAAGTCAGCACGGGGGTATTCATAGTGCGATGCAGATTTGCTGCTATCATCATACACTATTGGAATCACCGAGGACCTAAGAGAACTTTAAGAACAAAGATCAGGAGTTATTTTGTTAAACGCTTTTGCACTTTTTTGATGTGGGTAGCGGCATCAAATAGTCTCACTGTAAAAAGCATAATAATCAAACACTATATTGTACCTTATCCCTAACTTTTACTCTTTACCTATCGCATACACTACCAAAGTCTCGATAAGACAACTACTCGCTTAAACCAATACTCTGAGTATTTTGCTTAGTGGCGGATAGTCACCGTGCTCTCAGTAGAAGAATAAGCGCTTAGTCTATTAGAAAAGACCAAGGTACTATATGCACCCCCGAGTGGCAACAGCAGCCATCAACGACTACCTTTGCGCTACATCCTTCATCGTTCGAAGAGGAAGCGCCGAACATCTATACTGCGGATACCTTCACTACTCAGGTTTCTTCGCAGAAGCAGGAACCACCGCTACCTTCGAGGAATACGATCCCGAAATCCTCAACTACCCAGAACTCTTCCCAATCAAGATCACTCTCTCCCAACGGTCTTTCGGACGTGCTCATCCAGCCCCCTGGTTCATTACTCAACCCTGGTGCAGAAGGCATCCACAGCTCAAACTCGAGCAACTTAGCAATGTCAAGGGCTCATCAGCAACGGTCGGAGGAAGACTACAACATGGAGAGTTCAATCGCCTTGAGAGATCGAGGTATATTAGAGACCCAAGCGAAGAGGCGCCACAGGAAAGAGAGAGATGTGCCGATAGGCTCCCTCTTCACATCGACGAGGCAGGAAGAATCCTATGTGCAGGCGAGGAGGCGGCAGGTAGACCACCGGGAGTTCTCCCCATACGTCACCCCAATCAGAGAGAGATCCTCTACTCAGAGGCCCTCGGTGCCTCGGGTAATGGACGACGACGAGGATACCAACATGGACGTAGAGGAACGGCGGGTGGAGAACCCTTTTGGCGACCTTATTGGGCAAGAAGTCCAGCGACAAGGAGCCCCCGTGGTACAACAGCTCAGCCGCGGAATCGAGGAACTCAGCATGCACGTGCGGGATATCTCCATATTCAGGGAACTCACCCGGCAGCAGCAGGAGTATACCAACAAGATCGTCGAGGACCTCCACGCCAAGTTCGCTGGGGACAGAGCCGAACGCGACAATCAGCTCAACCAGGTCATGGCTCAGCTACGAGCGGAATCCACCGCCGCTACCAACAACCTCGGCCAAGTCCTTGGGCAGATCGTGGAAGCTACTAGGGCGCATCAGGAAAGGCAGGAGCGACAGGATCAGCGCATAAATGCGCTGACCAACTTCGTTCAGCAACTCCCGAAAGATGGCCCTGTGCAGATACCCGCGGAGGTTATGGCTGCCCTCGAGAGGATGGAACGGGACAGACAAGCTGCGATGGAAGACCAGTTCGCAGGTACTAAGAAGAACCTGGAGGAGATTATTGAGCAGATGCGGGTAGCAGCCAATAGAACGGCAGCAGCCCCCGAAGGCTCAGGAGGCGGAGGCGTAGTACCCCTCCAACCCCCTCAGAACCCCCTAGCAATTCCGGAGAGAGACCGGAAGGATCAGGGAGCCAACCCCCCGTACCCCCTCGCTCCGAGGCAAGGAGCCAGCAAAGTGGACAAGGAGGCAGGGGAGGCAATGGCAATAACGGCAACGGCGGAAACCACGCAAGACCACGAGGCCCATCCCCTCAGATTCATCCAGCTCCTCCGATTCAGAGGACGATCGTCGAGCACGCGAACGAAGACAGAGAAGACGGGAGGAGCGAAGACGCCGTAACAGGCAGCAAGAGGTAGATCTCATGCACCCCCCTGGCGCCACCCTGGGAGATACGCTAAAACAGGCAAAAATCCCCTTCTCCGGTAAAGCCGACGAAGACGTGCGACACTGGATCGACCAAATGGAAGTCTTAATTGAACTTCAGAGGAAAGTCCGGTGGGACGACCAAACCAAGATCCTGTGGGCATCCCTGGAACTTACCGGGAGTGCGGCAAAATTCTGGCGAAACTTCGTGGAGCGACTATCGGTAGACCCCAGCATCGGAACATGGGAAAATTTTAAAAACGAATTACGGATTCAGTACGGCAATCGAACAAGTCAAGAACAAGCCAAGCAGAAGATGGATAGGCTCCGTCAAACTGGCATGATCGATGACTACATCAACGAGATGCAGAATCTGGAATGGGACGCGAAGGTCGGACCCATCGTAATGAAATCCATGATCCTAACAGGAATAAACTCCTCGCTGGAACAACGCCTCTCGAACGCGATCGAGGAACCAGAGGATTTCGCGGAATGGCTAGCCTGGGTTAGGAAGGTCGGACGAAAGGATCACGAGGTTAAGGCCCGGAAAGAAATCTTACGTGGCAAAGATGTCGTGAAATCTCATGAGGAGAAGTCGGAACGGCGAAAATCGCGCAACCCCGCACCTCGGAAAACTTTCTCCGTGCCAGCGCACAACTCCAAGGCCTCGGATGACTTAGGTGTCACCAAGGACGAAAAGGAGAAGTGGCAAAAGGAAGGAAAGTGTTTCCGTTGTGGTAGAGATAACCACTTCGCGAAAGATTGCGTGGCGACGAGTAAGGTCAGGTTAACCGACCTGAAGAGGAAACGGTATCCTTCCGGAGGAAAGGACCACGGAAGGGAGGGTGAAAAGAAGCGGAAATTGGGCCCCCAGAATGAGGCGTTTAGGGCAAGGATTACAACTTTGGAGGATCAAAATTGATTGGGTATTTCTATTTTTTCGGTATCTCATGTTACGTTACGGGTTTCCTTCTACTTTGGGCTATGGAAACAAGGGTTTTATGTATTACGGTTATTTTTATGGGTTGGCCACGAGATTTTCTATATTTGTTTTGTTATACGCGCGGAAATTCAATTCTCTTTACACACACTCTGAGGATGGGGTTACACCCCGAAACGCCTGGTGCGTAAGTGTTGTACCATGATCTTCATCAAAACACTCGAACTCTCTATATAAACCCCCTCACCCCGCGCTCAACGAAGAGAAAACCATCGAAAACCACACACAGAACCAATACAAACCCTTTATTAGACCAACATACAAACATGTCTTCCAACACACAAGAAACTCGTCTCGAGATCGAGATCTCTTGGAACCACCCAGCAACTAGTACCAAACATGTCGCAACAGTCAACGCACTCTTGGACAGTGGCACAGAGGACTGGATCATGTCCTGGAACTGCATCTACCGTGCGAAAATACCTACTCAACCTCGACCAAAGCCTCTCATCATCAGACAGGCCGATGGTACCCCTATGCCCAACTCCGGCACTCACACCACCCAACCTCTTTCCCTCCGCATCGGCAACCACCTAGATAGGGCTATCACCTGTGAGGTTGGCTCGTTCGCAGGAGAGGACCTCGTCATACCACATCGATGGCTCAAGGAGCATCAACCAACCATCCATTGGGGACGCAACAGTGTTAGCTTCCATAGTAACAACTGTATAGTCAATGGATGTTTCGTATCAGTCGAGGACATATACGATCAAGACCCAGAAGAGCTGGTCATCAGGCTGTTGAGGGCGTCACCCAAGAAGCAGACGACGATCGAGCAACACCCCTTTTGGGCAAGAGCATCGGTAAACGAGGCTCTCGTTAGTGCTATACCGGTGGAGTTTCAGGAATACGCCGACGTGTTCTCCAAGGAAGGAGCCGCTCGACTACCTGACCACTCTGAATGGGATCATACCATTCCTCTTATGGAAGGAAAGCAGCCGCCGTGGGGACCGATCTATTCGCTCTCCCCACCTGAAGACAAGGCACTCCGGGAATATTTGGACGAAAATCTGCCCTCCGGCAAAGTAGTCCCCTCCACCAGCCCAGCAGCGGCACCCGTCCTGTTCGTTCCGAAAGCAAATGGTAAGCTTCGGTTATGTGTCGACTTCCGTGGTTTGAATGGGATCACGATCAAGAACCGCTATCCACTGCCGCTTATGAATGAGCTGGCCGACGCAACGAAAGGAGCACTCTACTTCACGAAAATAGACCTGAAAAATGGCTATAATCTGATTAGGATTGCTAAGGGCGAAGAATGGAAAACCGCTTTCCGAACGAAATACTGCCTCTTCGAATATAGGGTAATGCCTTTTGGCTTGACCAACGCTCCTGCGTCGTTTCAGGTCATGGTCAATACCATATTCAAGGATCTTCTAGATCAAGGCGTAGTAGTCTACTTGGATGACATTTTAATGTATTCGAAGACTAGAAAAGAGCATACGACTCTTGTACGAGAAGTTTTGGAGCGACTGCGACGACACCAGCTATACGGAAACCTCGAGAAAACGGAATGGTATCAACAGGAGTTAGAATTCCTGGGATTTATACTATCAGGAAAAGGGAACCGAGTATCACCAAAGAAAGTCCAGGTGATCGAAGGTTGGTTAGCCCCAACCAAGGTCAAGGAACTTCAATGCTTCCTCGGTTTCGCCAATTTCCTAAAACGGTTCATCCACCGATACTCTGAGGTTTGCAGACCTATGACCGATCTCCTGAAGAAAGGTTCCGTATGGAAATGGGGCAGGGAACAGCAAGACGCGTTCGACGAGCTCAAGAGGAGATTTACGTCTGCTCCAATACTCCGACACTATGACAAGCACCGCGAAGCAATTGTGGAGACTGATGCGAGTGACTGGGCTGAGGCCGCAGTACTCTCTCAGGTGTTCGAGGACGGTATTCTACATCCGGTAGCTTACCACTCTCGCAAGTTCAACGAGGCAGAGGTTAACTATGAGATCTACGACAAGGAGATGCTCGCAATAGTTTCTGCTCTCTTGACTTGGAGACATTGGCTGGAAGGGACGGACATCCCTATCCAGATACATTCGGATCACCAAAACCTGCAGTATTTCACAACGACCAAGTAGTTGTCGAGAAGACAAGCCAGATGGGCCGAGAAGATAGCACCTTTTCGCTTCAAGATCCATTACCGACCAGGCGAAAAAGAACGGCAAGCCAGATGCACTTACAAGGCGTCCGGAGTTCGCAATGGAAGGGGGAGTAATGCGTGAGCAGCCCGTAAAACAGCTACTCAACGCAGAACAGTTTGTCAGAAAATCACGGACCAGCGTAGAAACTGGGTCCGAAGTGATTGGTAACCCCGAAGAGGAATGGAATCAGTTGGATCAGTGGTACGACATACCAAGCGTAGAGCTGCCTCAGCCACTACAGGGTTGGTATGAACAGGAAAGACGCTGGGTTCGGAGGACGGTTCCGGATGAACGTCTCCCTGACTCAAACCTGGAGATCTTTGGACCACCGGAGGCTGCTATCGTAAAGTTAGAGCCTGCCGCTGAATGGAGTCCCGATTCGAATGACCCCACCCACGATTGTCGATGGGTAGTACCGGGCTACGCGGTCAAGCAGGTCATTGAGGAACATCATGATCGACCCGTGGCGGGGCATCTAGGAAGGGATAAAACCCTTGAGTTGATCGATAGGAACTACTGGTGGCCAGGAATGTTCACGGATGTAGCCAACTTCGTCAAGACTTGCGATGTATGCCAGAGAGCCAAGCAACGTCGGAGACACTTGTCACTCCCTCAACCCCTAGAATTAGCCACCACACCTTGGACTGATATCTCGATGGATTTCGTAGTAGAAATGCCTAAGGAGAAATCAGGATTCCGTAACGTATTGGTAGTTGTGGACCGTTTTACGAAGATGGCTCATTTCATTCCAATGACGGGGATCAACGCGGAGCAGACCGCTAACGCATTTGTCAAAGACATCTGGCGTTTTCATGGACTTCCTAGGAGCATCGTCTCTGATGGAGGAACACAGTTCGTGTCAGCATTCTGGACGGCAATCACGGAAAGATTGGGGATTCGTAGGAGACTCTCTACTTCATTCCACCCGCAAACCGACGGCCAAACAGAACGAACCAACCAGCACATGGAAGGGTATATTCGGGCATATACGGCAGGAACAGGCAAGAAATGGAAGGACCTGTTACCTATCTGCGAATACGCCTACAACAATGCGAAGCATACGTCAACTGGGCAATCGCCGTTCTACTGCAATTACGGTTTCCACCCTCGAATGGATTGGCCTACGGATGCAGAGATCGAACGATTGGATGCCAATGGGAACAACTACTTGGACGAGATCATCACGGCTCATGAGTTAGCGAGAGACACGCTACAGAAGACTTTCGACAGAATGGCGTCAAAGCCAGAACCAGCAGCACAGCGGTTCACTATCGGTCAGAAAGTCTTGCTGGATACTCGGAACCTTGGAGGGTACTCCAAGTGGTCAGACAAGTTTACAGGGCCATTCACAGTGTCGGCAGTGGTGGGCAATCGGGCTTACCGCCTTGAGCTTCCGGTAGAATGGAAGGTTCATGACGTCTTTCACGAGATGTTGCTGCGACCCTGTCGTGAGGACCCGGATCCCACCAGAAAGCAGAATACACGAAAGCGACTGGCAACACCCGAGCCACAGGGGGCATTGGCAGACGGGAACTTCCAGCCAACCTCGAACATACGACCCCATACGCGAAGTCAAGACCCAGCGATCGATAATGACCGGGCTCATAAACGACAGCGGAACAGGCGAGACTAAGCTCGATACCTTTCCATACTCTATGACTTTTCCCACAGGGTTTTTATCATAGAAGGGTTTTAACGGTCGAGGGCGACGTCTAGGAAGGGGGAGTAGTGTTACAGGAACTACGGAACACTGTTCTAGAGACTTAGAACAATGAGGAATACGAGTGACGGGTTGTGATGCGAGGACGGTCGGGTAACGAAAGGACAAGCATAGAAAGGTATCGGGTAGTGTGGGGGCATGCGGTGTTACCACACTAGTACTATACTGTTATGACGGCACGCTTACTATTGGGTGTCTCACCCGGAATAGAATAGGAAGCGGGGCTTACGGCTGTAGGCTGTTCTACTCAGAGAAGTAGGTCTAGGATAATAGTATGGTACAGCCCGATGACTGGCAATTGCAAGGTTCATGGTTACGTGTCGGAATTAGAATGGAGGACGGAACTATGCGGGGGCGCTTTTCTATCTGGGTTATCTTCGGGAGCATTATCTTATTCTATTATCGTTGTGTCAGTTAGTATTAGAAAGCGGGCCTTGGCATAGGTTCCAACATGTATAAATAAGGCTTGATTCTCCGAAGACTTGAAGGTATCATCAACCATCAAGTCAAGGGAATCCGGTTTACAATATCATCAGTTTAAACGCTACAGAATTATCGCTTAGCACTGGCTATTTCCCCAAACAGCTTCTATATGTGTCTTCGATGGATGGCTCGAGTTCGTACTCCGAGGCTTTCAAAACCGTACCCTCCGCACCCTCCGCATCATCGGTGTCCCCCGCAAGCTCCTCCACGTCTTCCGAATCATCCTCGTTTGACTGCGGCGAAGGCTGTCCTGGGACTTTATTGTCAACTGTCCAGGCCTCCCCATTCAAAGCCTGATTGGAGGATTCCATGGTCCGCTCGTCAGTGTTGAAGGCTGGCGATTGTGTTGGCTCGACTAGCTGCTCGTCCGGATTGCCGTTGAGGGATGCCCGGCGGTGGTATCGATCACCTCCGTATTGGGCGAGGATGTGAAGCACGTTAGATTCCTCATCATCTTCTTCCTGGACGTCAGAGAAGTCGATCATCTGTTTCCAGACGCTAAGAAGACCGATACGGGAGATATCGGAGTCGCAGACGCATTTTGCGAGGTACAACAGGGGTTTAAAGGCCTCAATCAAGACTTGGTCGATCTGGAACCTCCCGTAAACCTCTCCATTACATGCGAGGATGTTTCTCAGCATCTGCTGATCGATATACCGTACAGCGCGTGTGGTGATATCCCACGCAAGGTTGGTAGCGCCTTCGGGATGCATATACTGGAGGATATTCTCCGCTGTTTTGATTGTTCCGAACCGCAAGGCCTCGAGGACGGCCTCCCCCAGCTGCTCCTGTGTGCCATACTCCAATAGGGTCTCTGCGGCCTTCCAACAATCTACCTGAATCGCCATCTTTAGGCCGGCAAGGATGCTGTCGTGTGCGTACGTGAGGTGCTGATGGAGGAATGTGATGATTGGTAGGTGGAAGTGGTAATATTTAACCATCTCCACAATAGCGTACAACTTTGGATGGGGTGACCATTCGAATTCCGCCGTGTAATCCCACACCGGTGACACCCAGATGTTGTCGTCGACATGACCCGCATACCTAAGTCCCATGCGGATGCCACGAACACCAAAGATTCTGTAAGAAAGGAGTTTATTCTTCATTTCAAACGATCGAATTGCGACGTAAACCATAACTGCGGGGGGTGTTCTAGGTAGGAGAATAGCCCGGAGCTCAGCGCACGTCCAGGCGAGGGTGGCCCTTTCTTCGGCCTCATCGTCCTTGCCAGCGAGGAGTTGAATGACCTCATTTGGAAGTGTGATTATAATATTCCGGCGGGGAATATGGACTAAGCGGTGCATACTCATTTCGCGTGTCTGAGACATAAATGTTGTATATCGAGAGAGGATTCTTTGGGCTGCACGGTGTTGGGTGATGAGATGATATACTTCCAAAGAATAACCCGCAAAGAAAACAGTGGGCCCCCCGTTGATTAACCTGCCAAGGCTGGGGTTAGCCACCACAATTAATTCCGGACACTCAAAACAGACCTGATTCGAAACAGACTAAGGCAGCTTGTTCTGAAATATATTGAAATCCCACGCATATTAGAAAGGTAGAGACCAAATGATGGTTGGATGTTTTGAACTCACTCTAGAGGACAACTGTAAATGACTTCGTCCTTTAGCTAAATCACTTCGTCGTTTGGACTGCCAAGAGGTTGCAGATAAGATAATTGAGCTCAGTTTAACACCAGAATTTTCCACTGTTCAGCCAAATGACAATTTAACCAGCAGCCAGCTATAAAAGGCGCACAACCATGGGTGGCCTTCCTCTTCCTCAACACAAATACCTCCACAAGAATTATCACCAATGTCTTCAGCATCATCCCTTCGCCCCTAATTCCATCAGGTTCATCCTATTAGATCAATGCCCCACCTGTTCCCCTCCGTTCCCCAACTTTTCCCATCTGTTCCTTTCCTTGTCCCATCTGTTCCTTTCCTTGTCCCCTATGCTCCCCCCCCCCCCCCCCCTTTCCCCTCCTGTCCCTCTACGTTCCCCACCTGTTCCACTACATTCTTCCCTTTGCTAGCGTAGTTCAATGCTTAGAATCACCATCACCATCACCAGTGACGGTGTCAAGGTAGGTCATATCGAGCCCATTCAAGTTGATTGGTATAGCCATTAAAGTTCAAGTTACTAATTGACAGCAGCAGCGGGGCAGCAGCAGTAGCAGTAGTAGCAGTAGCATTAGGAATAATAAAATAAATTTATTTTATATATATATCTAAACGACTTCGTCGTTTATTAACGGTGGTCATACAAACCACGAAGTCATTTAGCCTAAACGACTCTACTAAACGACTACGTCATTTATAGTTTGCTACTAGAGTCACCTTTTCGACAACCTTTACGTCAAAGTATGATGTGAGTGAACGTATACTTTCAGATATATATATATATAGGAGTTTTATAGGTGAAGGCATGAGACCCAACCTACCTCCTGTATGATCTACTTATCGATATCATTATCTGGTTGGATCAGGAGTAGCTCACCCTTTAAATAGGTTTGAAAAAGAATACAGTAGTCATGAGGAGCTAGAATAACGGGCTGTTCTCCTGACAAAGAAATGAGATTGTCAGCGATCACGCTGGAACATATGCGGAACGAGTGACGTTCTGTGACGCAGTGCTACCGTACGCCCAAATCAGTTGACAACCTGTTTGGGGAAATGCCAGTGCTAAGCGATAATTCTGTAGCGTTTAAACTGATGATATTGTAAACTGGATTCCCTTGACTTGGTGGTTGATGATACCCTCAAGTCTTCGCAGAATCCAGCCCTATTTATACATGTTGGAACCTATGCCAAGGCCCGCTTTCTAATACTAACTGATACAACGATAATAGAATAAGATAATGCTCCCGAAGATAACCCAGATAGAAAAGCGTCCCCGCATAGTTCCGTCCTCCATTCTAATTCCGACACGTAACCATGAACCTTGCAATTGCCAGTCATCGGGCTGTACCATACTCTTATCCTAGACCTACTTCTCTAAGTAGAACAGCCTACAGCCATAAGCTCCGCTTCCTATTCTATTTTCGGTGAGACACCCAATAGTAAGTGTGCCGTCACAATAGTATAATACTAGTGTGGTAACACCGCGTGCCCCCACACTACCGATACCTTTCTATGCTTGTCCTTTTGTTACCCGACCGGCCCGCATCAGAACCCATCACTCGTGTTTCTCACTATCCTGAACCTCTAGAATAGTGTTCTGTTGTTTCTGTGACACAACCACCGGGTGTTTGAGGTCACGCATGATAGCCGTCATAGCAAAGCCTGAACAGGCTTAGGATCCTTCAGTTGTCTGTTTTTCGTTGGTGGTGCAGCAGTCAACCGTTCAAATTCACCATAGATCACTCGGTCACATGCATATGGATATATGCATAGGTATGGTGATGCAAGGCGCCCGAAGCGTTTTTATAGTAATACTCCTATATCGAGAAGTTACCTGAAGACGGTGGAATATATTTTAAAACCCGACCTCTTGCGCCGGCAATCTATTGCACCAGATTCTACTGGTTGTGACCACACAAAAAACACTCAACCAACCACTAATGAGAGCCACAACCGCCACAGCGCCCCTTGACGGTGCTGGGTGTATTGCAATAGCCATAGCTCGTCTGTGCACGTCTAACCATTGTAGAGAGTAAATAATGAAAGACGAAGATCATAAGAAGATCACAAAATTAAAACAGAGGTTTTTCTATTCCGGGATGACTAAGTTACAGGATTCTTTTTTCCTACAGAACTCATTTCTAGCCCTAGAACGTCAGTCCAGCTGCTCCACCCATTGCCACTCCAATTACTTTGCAACCTTAGCCAAACGTTGAGCGATCTTGACGACGCCTATTTCGTCCTGTGCCTCAAGGCCATTCAATTTATTCCTAGTCCGGATGAGGGGTTTAAGCTGCTTGGCGGCATTACTATGTGTCGCATATACGAGGCGCGTCCTCCCCTCGCAAGCGGCCTAGCCAGGGAGCTCCCAGGGAAAGAGGCCACCCTTGTCCTCGATGACACAATTGACACCTTTCTCTAGAAGAACACCCACCAAGGACGACTCCTTGTTTTCGATGGCGTAATGTAACGCAGTCTTCCCATGGATGTCCTGGATATTGAGCTGTTGTTCGGATATGGTGAGGGGCCCGCGAAGCTGGTGATAGGGAGAATCGACGTCTGGTTCAAGGAGAGCACGGATCATCTCTTTGTAGGCAGTCTCAAAGATCGGCCTGTCCCCGTCCTCTGATCCTTCGTCGTCGTTGGACTCCTCCGAAGTCGATACGCTTGTGTCTTCTTCGTCGCTGTATTCAGCTGAAGGAGATACGCTTGTGTCGTCCCCCATGCTCCCTGGGCGTGTCTGGTCTAGATGGTCCTCATTAGCTTGAATCGGGGACTCCGCTGTACCGTCCTTGGAGGATATCAAATAGCCTGCCCGGCGAGCAGCAAACAGCATCCCGGCTGTCGACCGTCCGAATTTGGCCGCCCCATTCTTTGCGAGATGAGGGAGGACCCCTGCGCGCTCTGCATCCACCTGGTTCAGGTCGGCGAACTCATTGATCAATTTCCGCCATACCTTGAGCTGGTCCCTGCGATCACTGGTGCAGCCAAAGCGTAGCCCTGAGAGGTGTAGCATCGGGAAGAATGCATTGAGAAGTCTGTCAGGAAGTGGGAACCTGTCGTAAGCCCATGCGTCAAGGCGGAAGATATTATTCAACATCTCCCAACCAAGACCACGAATCGCACGCTTGGTGATATTCCAGCAAAGGTAGGTAGCTTGCTCGTGGTTCATATGCGTGAGAAGAATATTTCCGATGCCCAGGCACTTGAATAAGCAAGCCTCGAGAAACGCCTCCTCGAGCTGATTCTGCGTAACAAACCCAATGAGAAGCTCCACCATCTCGGACCACTCGAAGGCGATTGCCATTTTCAATGCCGCGAGGATACTATCATCCCCAGGTGTGAAATGCTCCCGGAAGATCACCTCCACAATTGCGTACGCTTTTGGATGCGGTGACCAGATGAATGTATCAGTGTAGCGTGCGCGTGGCTGTTACAGGAATCACGGAACACTGTTCAAGAGCATAGGGCAGTGAAGGAAAATGAGTGATGGGCTGTGATGCGAGGACAGTCGGGTAATGGAAGGACAAGCATAGAAAGGCATCGGGTAGTGTGGGGGCATGCAGTGCTACCACACTAGTAATAGGCTATTGTGATGGCATGCTTCCTATAGGGTTTCTCACCTGGAATAGAATAAGAAGTGGGCTCATGGCTACAGGTTATTCTAATTAGGGAGGTAGGGCTAGGACAATAATATGGTACAGCTCGATGATTGGCATTTGCAAGGTTCAAGGTTACGTGTCAGGATTAGAATGGAGAACGGAACTATGCAGGGGCACTTTTTGTTTGGGGAAATGGCCAGTGCTAAGCGATAATCCTGTAGCGTTTAAACTTGTGATATTGTAAACTGTATGCCCATTGCTTGTTGGCTGATGATGCCTCCAAGTCTACGGAGTATCCTACCCTATTTATACATATTGGAACCTATGTCACGGCCCACTTTCTCATACTATCCAGTACTATGATAATAGAATTGTAATGGATCCATTTCAACTGTCTGGCGTATGAGTACACATAGGGCCTGGTTATATGCTGTGAGTTATTGTTAGAAGCCAGTTGCCCAATGACATGCAAGTACCGGCAGTGTGGCTAGCTACCAGCTGTCAGAGTAACTACATTCTGAGCGCTAGGAACAGGATCTATTCATGGGAGTAATGACTGACGAATCCAAGCCTCGCCAATGTTAGAAGGCCAACCAGAGTGAAGCTCTGAGTGGATGGCGATATGCTATATCATCTGAGCATCGTGAGTCCGCCGGTATTGGCAGGGGCCATGCCTGAGAAGTCTACAATAAGTAAAAGAGCTCTACAGCAACGATTAAGCATACACCTGAGCAGTCATTCATTCATGCAGGCCCTCGGTGGCATGGCAACATAGGCTGGAGGTGTTACAAAAGCTTTGACTAAGGGTTGTTGCCTTCGGAAACTGGAAGCACCCGCTAACGTTTAGAGAGAAGCGGGGTAGCGGTAATATTGCTCCATTTTCGCCAGAAAGCTCCACCAAACTTAGTAAGGAAGTAGAAGCAGTGAAATGGACTCCTTCAGAGTATAAGTACTCAGGACCCTTCCTGCACTAACATCCGATTCTCTCCAGTCTTTAGAAGATATCGAGTATTTTATTCACTAGCAGAACCCTTAAGGATTATTGAGTTCTAGCGATAAATCTTTGAATAATCTAAAACTGATTTCTATTTTGCACAGCCATATGGTCCTAACGGATTTTAGCAATATTAGGAAACCTTGGCCCACTTACAAGAATAATATAACGACTCGAATATAATCTAGATAGCGAACTGCCGCAGAATAGTTCGATCCTGCATTCTGATTCCGATACGCAACCATGAATCTTGCAATTGCCAGCCATCAGGCTGTATCATATTATTGTCCTATACCTACTTCCTTCAAGTGAACAGCCTACAGCTGTAAGCCACATTTCTATTCTGTTCTGGGTCAGATAGCCAATAGTAAGCGTGCAATCACAATAGCCTAATACTAGTGTGGTAACATCACGTGCTGCCACACTTCCCGATACCTTTCTATCCTTATCCTTCCGTTACCCGACCGTCCTCGCATCATGACGCATCATACGTTTTCCTCGCCATCCTTCGACTTAGGATACTGTTCCGTGATTCCTGTTTCACTTTTCTATCTGGGTTATTTTAGGGTCGTTATCTTATTTTATTATCTTAGCCTCAGTTGATATTAGATAGCGGGCCTTAGTATAGGTTCCAACATGTATAAATAGGGCAGGGTTCCATGATGCGTTGAGGAGATCATCAACCATCAAGTAAAGGGAATCCGGTTTACAATATCACAAGTTTAAACGTTACAGAATTACAGCTTAGCATTGGACATTTCACTAAACACTGGCGTCGTCCAAGCCTTGGGATCGTGGTACCCTGCGTATTGGAGACCCAAGGTGAGGCCATCAACCCCGAACATCTCTTCGCGAGAAGTATCTGCTTCATGTCCAGGGATCGGATGGCGACCTACACAAGGACCATCGGGTCGATCAGGGGGGTATCCGCATCTCTGGGGAAGTCCAGGCCAGAGTTGCACGCTCCTCAGATTCGTCATACCTCCCGGCAAGGAGCTGGATAACCTCCGTGGGGAGGGTGTTAATGATGTTGCGATTGGAGGTTGGGGGCTTCATTTTTTGATTTGGTGGTTTAGATTTAGGGCAGACAGGGGGGATAGGGGGGCTCTGTAAGGTCTAATATCTTGAGGCAATATCGTGAGTTGACCAAGGGTTGTGTAAAAAAAGGTTGTATAGAGTATTTTTGCTTTTGATCTTGCTTGCCAAGATTTGCCAAGACCTCCGAGTAGCCATGATAATTTAAGACGCATTTATTATTATGGCGGATGATATTATATGATTTTCCACCTTGGCTCTCTATTTATAGCCGTGAAACCATTTTATCAAAACAGTAGAGACGGTTCTTGAAAGTGAAATATTATATATAGCCAGCCTTTAATTAAATTTTCCGAAAATACAAGGAGAATGTAACCGGCATATATATATCTTGACTGGAACAAATGACAAAGAAAATTCAAACGATATAAAGAATATAAAGCAATATTCTAAAGGAAAATTTGCCTGATAAGAAATGAAGAGAAATAAAGGAACGAAAACAGGAAAGAAAATAACGGGAAGAGACAGATGAGTCAGCTTTCATGCAAACAGAGCCCTGTTCCAGCAAGGGAGGTACACAGCTGGTTACAGTTAATCTACGGTTATTAGTATGTCATCCAGATAGTTAAAATATCGTTGTAGCCCTAGGAGGTACGTCTTTGGAGCTCGCGGGTGCCGAGACGCAGCACGGCCCCCCCCCAAAAAAAAAGGGGTGGTTAATATAGATATTTTTTCGCGTTACAATGTATAATGTCAAATCAAATAAAGGTATAAGAGTTGAGAGCGTCTCTCACTGGGACATGTTCAGGCACAGGAGAGATTACAATGGGGACAGTAGTTAAAAAAGAGCGGATATCAATAACAGTAGTATTTTTATTCATGAACTAGTGACTAACTAACTACGTGACATGAGAGAGATATTGCCATAGCTAGTCAGAGGGTAGTAGGCCTTATTTATGCCTCAACCACCACTTCCGGCTCTTCCGACTTCCCCATTTTCCCAAAGTCCTCAACTGTTTCTAGTTCCTCAACTTCATCGACGTCCTCCGATTCCACCGATTCTTCCGATTCCTTCAATTGCTCCAATTCCTTCGATTCTTCCAACTCCTTCGCGAACGCAGCTAAATGCTCCTTGACCTTGACATCGTTCCTGTCCTTGGTGATACGGACTGTATCCATCCAACCCCTCTCTCTCGGCTGAGGAGACCTTAACTGCTCCTTCGCCTTCTCGTAGACAATGCATGCGAGAACCTTGTACGTTTCCTCTCGGTGCCAGTTGTCGAAGTCCCAGGCCAAGTTGCCATTGTTGTCCATCATATTGCAGTCCGAATTCTTCTCGAGGAGGGTCTCTACCAGGATTGGCTCGTTATATTCGACCACGTAATGCAAGTCAGTCTTGCCGAAGATACCTTGGTGGTTGAAATCGGTACCTAGGAGACAGTACCTAAAAGCGCCAGAAGTAGTCGGTACATATCTCGCAACAATATGAATGGAACAGTGCCGATAGGCAATGATGGCTGGTCTGCGATGGTGGCGGAAAGTAACACTAATTCAGTTATAGTCAAAAGATAAAGATGAAGATGTTTCGTTGATGCCTCGTGTTTGAAACTTAAGCTTTGTGGTGCTGGGGCGAACATTACAGAACATCACCGATTTTGTGAGGTTGTGAAAGTGCCAAGTCTGGGTGATACTCCATGTCATTAACCAACTAAGAACTGTTGCCAAGATTGAGTGATAGCTGATGATGCTCACCACAACCACCGCCATCGCGTTACCACCCAGACAACCTCAGACACCCCAAGGTCAGCCCATCCCACACCAACCCATGTGTGTTCCACTGCCACTACTTGCGAACCCAATATCCCCCCCTGTCGGGTTTGTCCTACGCCATGTCAAGGGCCACTCACTTCACTCGCGTGTGGTATGAGGCAAAGCGGAGGCGCCGCACGCAGCGGATGGGATGGGTACAGGTAGCGGCCTTAGACGTGGGGCGTTGTAATGAGAGTGTCTTTATGCGTGAAAGAAGGTGGGGCGGGTGGATGGCGGAATACAGGAAAGGGAGGGGGGTAAAAGAGGGGCGGACTGTTGAACACAGGGTGCCACAAGCTGCTGAGGATATGGGTGCGGTGCTGCGTAGTAGGCCGGGAAGCTACCCATGGGCTGTCGGATGGTCTATGTCATAACCACCCGTGGGGGAGAGAATGAAGTGGCTACCTAGCCCCGGAGTTAACGAATAAATGCGTACTACTACGGGTAGTATGGAAAGTATGCTCCACAAAGGACAAACTACACCGAGACGATCAAAGGAGAGGAAATAGGGCGGAGGAGTGGCAAAGGTGGTGTCTTGTTGCTGAAGGTCTGTTTGCTCTCAATATATACCAGTTGATACTGATTAGTCGGTGATGCTAACTACACTATATTGACAGATGAGAGATAACTCGCTGCAGAGGTCGACAACCGGATTAACATCTTTTCACTCATGAGTATCGCAACATCCTGTTCCTACCAGCCGTGGGTAAGGAAGAAGCCCACCTCCTTGCCCGATGGTATTGTGGGGTGACAAAAGTTCTTGTGATTTTTGCATAGCAACCAGCAGTGGAATTTCCAAACGACCAATCCACAAAGTCGGTAATTGGAATTATACCTAAGTGGTATGTTCCTATCAATCTTAAGCTCTCGAACCACGTAGCTGTCTCCTGAATATCTTATGTAGTCGTGGAGTTATAGTCGTTTCATGATACATCCACGGAAAAAATCACGAGAACTTTTGTCACCACACAATACTACTTTCGATGCCAGAGCCGGAAAGCACTGCAGGGCTATGGTCGGAGATTCGCACTAGGAGTAACGTACACACGGGGCATGGAGGATTTACAAGAGCGAGGGACTTGAGCCGTTGCCTCGATGAAATCCACGCAGTTGTCTGAAAAGACAAGACGCCTCAAGCATACCAGAGACTTCCGAGCTCAGCTCCGGAGCATAATAAGCACAGACGTGCTACGATGGGAATAAAGCCAAGAAGGGAATACGCTCTCCGTCCGGCAAAACACTCGTTTTGCTCTCCCGGAACACTCTACCATCTTCCATGTTGTCAGAGGAAAACCGCTGTTATATGTCTCGAACACCTCCAGTCGACTCGAATGTCCTTCTGGACAACACTGTTGGGGTCAAAATGTTTCTGGCAAAGGGCATCGGCAGGAGAAAGGTCCTTGCCCATCGGCCAGACGACGAAGGCGGAGATCACTACACGCCTGAGGCAATCGCCCGGATCGTTACTAGTGCGGCGATATATTGCTCGCGCGACCTTGAAAGTTGCTACATAGTAGTGCAAAGTACAAAAGATGGAAGAAAACATACATTCCGGGTTCCTCTTCATCCGGGATGACTGTCCAAGTAGTCGCGTGCAGCGGAAGGAAAGGTGGGCCGATGAGAGGTATCGCATACCTCTTGGAATGGTGGTGACAGTTTCTAAATTGATTTTTTGGTTCTACAACGCGCTTAGTACGGAGATTGATGCTAGGTGTTAAATCAGCCAGTTTGCTGTGTCGGTCAGGGTTAGGGTTCGTCGGTTCGCTCTGTGGAACCAACGGGAAGTCATACGCGTTACCCCAGAGATTGACTCCGCTCTACCCCGATTTGGTCTACTTCTGTTCTTTCAGTTTCGATAGCTGACCATATGATTAGGAAAATAATTTATTCCCACCGACACCCACTTCAGCTGGATCAACGGAGAAGGAAGTTTTGACGCGGACGGCTGCTGCAGGTAAGTGTTCTGATGATAGGAAAGAAAAAGAGAAATACTTGCTGCGAATCTACAGGGCGAGTGCATCTTTGTACCTTGCACGCGACACTTGATACCAGGGCGGTCGGCTTTACTCTTCTACCTACATCTAGGCCTCATGTGACCTTCGTGGTCGACATGTTGTTAAGGGTTCGTCCCAGCTTAGCAGGCTCCCAGAACAGCACCCATAGCCTTCGTAAGACCGCTGGTGGGAGTGTTGCCTGTACCGGTGTCCGGGGCATCGTAGGGCCTTCGTGGTCTCAATGGTGTTAAGGGTTCGTCCCAGCCCGGCACCGGCCCTAAACGATGACTCCCGTTTTGGGACTAACGCTCCAGTGCCGCTTATGGATGGAGCAACCTATTGTAGACGACTTACGCAAGCGTTGGTTGTCGAGGTAACGTGATGCCTTTGACAATCTGTCACCCGGGTGATAGGGCAGGGCTTGTGCTGATGTGATATCCTGAATCTGGCTCTGACATCAATCCGATCTCCGGGAGGTTTTACCTTACAGGCTATGGCTCCAATTTTTCGCCGGAGGTGTTGGTGTTGAACATAGGCTTAGGCTGTAGCGATGGACCATGCAGATGGCTTTATTGAGAGCTCATATTGTGAGAGGTTGAGCTACTAGAAAATGTGTATTAGCTGTTCGGGCTTGGTGGGGTAGTTTTATATAGAGCTAGTATAGCGTTCTTTAATTGGATTTCTATCAGGCCTTACGTATATTTTACTTCCAGTTCTTGTCTGATATTTATATGTTCTCTATAATGAAATAAGAATAACTTCTCCGAGCGTGGGAAAAAGCGGGAGGCTGGGGGTAAGTAAAAAAGAAAGACTCATCTTCTCGTCCTCACGTACAGTGCTTGACGTCGTCCCCACGAGCAGGGGCACAAGCCTCTCAGGGATGAAGCGAAGTCAAAAATTTTGCTCGAGCTATGGCGGCTAAGCCTGAGGAAGTTCATCGATCCTTGGATACTGCGGTAAACCTAATCGTGGTTTTAACATTGTTGCGGGGAAGGTCCACTCCTTCATGAACGATCACTCGACCCTTTCTCCGGGGTGGGTGCAAGGCTTTTTTTTTTTTTTTTTTTGTTTACTTCATTAATTATGGGTGCAAGGCTGGAAGCCGCAGTTGCATCCAGATTATTACTTACTCACGAAACAAGCTGGCACCAATAAGCGAGCAGGAAAGCTTGGTGTTCTTTGTTTCGTCAACCCATAACGTAGAATACTAGCAGAAGAGATTATCAGTACACGTCTTTCTCCCCGATCACTATTAACGTCTTTCTCCGCTGGCTAGAACATGCATGTTCGTTGGTTGGTAGCGTGGGTGGTGGACGCTCACCCATTAGATTTATTCAGTTCCTTACGGGTTTCAGTATTTGAACCTGGACTCAGATTCTTTCATTGCATCTCTGGATTTCTTGATTCAGCACGGAAATACCCTATTAAATCAATTAAATTCTTATTAGATTTCGCTACCATAAATAGTTCGCCAAGGTCCAAAGATTAAAATGTTATCAACCTTTCAAGTCCTTACTTTAAGAGGGTATCATTGATATTTTCAACGGAATAACGGTTATTATAATATTTAAAATTGAATAGATGAAACCTATTCGCTTGTGTTTATGTAAAAGAGCCTCGAAAGCGTAGAAGACCGCGATTTTATCCAACTAGGCCCATAGTCCGCGAATCGAATACACCACTCGATCCCCCGGGGTTTCGAGTATATATCTTTACCGAGAAGAAAATACGGTAGTAGATTCTGGTATACAATAATGTTGATTAATACACCTGTTTTCGTTTCAATATTAGAAGTTAGCTTTAATATAGATAATGGGGAGCCGCCGGGTATATGCATATATATTCATACATAGAAAGTAGTATATATATATATATATGAAGGGCCTCTGTGAATTGCAGAACAGCTGGATGTGGAGAACAAGAAAGATGAAAAGCATTTCGCTAATACTAGGAAGCCACTCGATTCACATTTATCCTTCATAGACGGGTATGGTGGTCTGGTTGTTTCCCTCCTTAGCTATCGACCTTATATGTACAACTAGAAGGTGAGAGCCAAGGTTGGTAGGTGTTATGTTAGATTGTTGTACAGTGAAAATCCTCCGCTGACTGCCGTCTTGGCGCCCCACAAACGACCCTCCTTATTGTGTGCACCTACGATAACCTCCACCGCTCTATAAACTGTCCAACGACGCAGGTCCTACAAAACGTTCACCAAAACCCAATCACTCAACCAGGAGGTAAAAAGACGTAATAACCGCGACATATCCTCATCGATCACGTCCTAACAAAAATAGCAAAGCTGCCCCAACGACATGTCTTTGAGCACCACCAACCAGTCGAGGGCCCCAGCCCTTAATCCCAGTCTCCTTTCCGAGCTCATAGCGGAGCAGACCGCCCTGGAAGTCGCGCTCACTTTTAACCGTTCCGAGCGCCGTCAGGCTACCCGCTTTTTCTACATGTGCGCTTATGAAATCGAATTCATCAAGGCTGATCTCAAGAAGCGGGGCTATTTCGGGGCGACCGGAATCACTACCAGGGCAGCTGGTGACAAGCCGGTGGCAGATCTCCTTCAGAATATCAAGGGGCTTAGGAATTTAAAACACGAAATTGAGCGCCGCAAGAATACAGCGGGCCGCAATGTCTTTGAGCTCCCGAGGGAGATCTTCGAACTGGGCCTAAAGATTACCTACGAGCAAGGGTTGATCGAGCAAGCTAAGGAACAAAAGAGGCAGAGGGGATGGAGCGAGGTAGGCATTCCACCTCTTCTATATATACCGAGATCGAGACCGCTCTTACTGATCTTTAGTGTAGAGGAGATTATGGAAGCCTATATGGCAGTGATGGAGGATATTAGGAAACACGGAGCAAGCTCTGTGTGAGGATAGGTATGGGGAGATTAAACTAGCAAAGCAAAATCTAGTTAGAAATAGAAGAGTCTTCAGTTCTGTTTTTATATTTTTACACTTTTTTACTCTTCTGATTGTGTGTGGGGCTGAACAAAATGGCTTAGTCTTAATTGGTCAAATATTCACGTTTAGGTTTTAATCAGGTGTTTACTTATTCCACTTGACATCTGAGCAGAAACGGTCATCAATATTACGTAGCTTAACAAATATTAAAAATGTAGGGTATGAGACAAAAGGAAACAATTTAAGGAAAATATTGGTTGACCAGGTTCAAGTAGCTCGCACTATTTTTAATTTATACTTCAAGCTGGGTGACTAATTAAGCTATGACAGTTGCTACTGGCAGTCCTTTGTCTTATTTGGGGTAGTAGCAGAAAATGAGCATTTACCTTTCCCACAGGTCATCCTCACCTTCATTTGTGCTAGCTAGGCATGCATGCTCTGCTCTTGATAACATGACTAACAGGCCTTCGCCTGAAAGAATCTTTTCCTTTCTGTTTGTCTCTATGCATCTCTTTGTAGTTATATTTGCTTGTAGCCTGGTTGTATAGGAAGTTTTCTTGTATATCCGGACTTTCTACTTCACTGTGCATATAACGCGTTTCCTCGGGAAAGCGATCGTCACCGGGAAAGCAATAAAGTGTGACAACGGGTTGATCCAAAGTTGCTGAAGAAAGTTGAATATATATACAACTACAGAACCAAGTAGCCAGAAGTGTTATTTAGATGTCTCCCAACTATTTATGACATGATTTACCCCTATCTGGCGAGAGTATTGTTTCAGAGACGTCGTTGACTGGGTTAGGGAGTGTAAGCTTTATCGACTTTACCAAATTTTGGTTTATTTTCATTATATAACTCCAGGGTTCGGAAAAGTCACACTGAACCCTCTTATGTGTGCCTGCCTTCATATATTGTGTTTTGATGCCCACAACCTCTTTTTGTGAGGTTCGGTTGCTTTCCCGGTGATGATCGCTTTCCCGGTGAAATACGTCAAGTATTACATGAAATCTGCCAAGATCTTATAAAATCCCTTGATAATAAATAGTTGGTTAAAGTTGATTGCTGGATAGATTATAGATTGTTAAGTATACTTACTATCGCTATAATATATACGGTGTTCGTTCGTCCACTGCAATTCGTGGTTCCAATGAAATGAGTATAAGTCGCTTTATGCGCGTCTAAACCCAGTAGAAAGGAGTTATTCCTTTAGCCCCATAAACGGCCTCGAAATCATGCGGTCACGACTCTGCCCGGCTAGAACTAGTACTATATTTTCGAACTAAATAAACCAAGGAACGACTATGCAATTTATGAATTACGCCCAAAAAAAAAGAGGTAAAAAGTAAAAAATAAAAAAAAGATCCGAGGAACCAAGGAACCACCGGCCGTATACAAGATGCTAGTGCTAGGGGGAACTGCTACTCCCTCGCAGCTTCGACCTTACGACTATGAAGACATAGGTGAAGCGCTGGGTTTGGTTGTGCGATAATGTTCAGTATTCACCTTCACTGCTTCCCTTACTGGAAGGGTTCAACATAGAGAGCGGGAAAGACAACTGGACGCAGCATAAAGGTCTCAATCGGCATGTAGGAGATTTCTCTTGGTCGTGAATCAGCTTATGGGGAGGACTAGAGGGAGAAGAGATGAAAGTAAAATCTGAGTGCGCTCTCCCATGGGGAAGACGCTTGGTTTGTACTCGATCGTGTTTTTAATTCTCTACGGTGTTATTGACTTCTGTTTGATAACTGTAAGGTGAGTTATATGCCTGGTGGGTGCAATTCTGGAAATGGCTACCCCCCGGCTAAAGGCTGGCGCTTCTAATGGTTTTCTACACCTGACATCCCACGCCTCATTTTAGAGAACATTTTCCACTCTCCGAACCATTCTCACCTCAATTTAATACTCCAAGGAAAAGGTAAACTAATCGAACAACCGTGCCTTATCACTATTATTTGCTAATATAAATGATACTCTGCCACAGATATGTCACTATTAACTACCACAGACCAATCAAGGGACCGGGTGCCTGACCCTGCGTTCCTGGCCGAGCTCATCGCCCAGAACATATCCCTCAAAGCCGCCCTCGTTTCAAACCGCCGAGAGCAGCTTACATCCACTCGCAATCTCGTTGGCTGTCTTCACGAAATCGACTTCATCAAGGGTCAACTCAGGCAATTGGGAAACGATGGGCCTACAGCGGCTGCCACCGTGGAGGAAGGGGATGAGCTAGTTGTTCTCATACTAGAGGACCTTATCGAGCTACAGAATCTGAGGGATGATATCGAAGACCGCAAGGATACTGCCAGCCGCAAGGTAATGGCGCTTGAGAAGGAGATCTTGGAGCTTAGCGAAAATATCAACTATCAGAAGGGCCTGATTTACAACTCGAAGGAGGAAAAGAAGCATAGGAAACGGGATTGCCGTAGGTGTTCCGTCTCCTTTATTTTTGTCGAGGTTCTTCGTACTGACATTTATGCAGATGAAATGATGAAGTCTTATAATTAGGGCCGATCACAAAGCCAAACGGAAATGATGCAGTGTCAGAGGATTGACGAAACCGCACAGGCAGGACGCAGTGTCTAAAGAAATTGTTGATTTGAAACTAGCAAAAGAATTATCGTTACAATTAAAATAGCTTTCTTATCATTTACATCTCACACTTGCTTTAAATTTCTTAATTATGAAGCCGAAGACAGTTTGGCCACCGAACAGGTGGAGAGAGAAAGAGGACGCATATAGAGTTAGTAGAGGTAGACCGGATTATTTATTAGTTACTTTTCCTATCTCTTTATAAGTAGCGGTGGAGGCAGCAGGGTAGTTCTGGGGATATTGCCATAACTGTAAACTTGCATGCAGTTAATATGAATTAAACAAAAGAAAAAAAAGATAAAAAAAAGCCGAAGACAGTACTCAGATCAGTGTATGTCGAACACGATCAATTGGGCGTATCTTCATTTCACTCAATATTACTTGGGGCCGGAATGTTCCAAATATAAGAGGCAAATAAACAGCGAGCAGGAAAAGTGAAAACAGATGATATACGAAATAAGTCAAGAATTTTGCTATATATACCGGTATACACAAATCACGTGTATTCTTGATTTGAGCTGGCCAATTTCTTCTCTTGGCATCCAACCATCGGCCCTCGTTCTCTACAGAATCATATCTATTCCATAAAGTATGCGCAACAGACAATAACCAGTACGGCCGTCCCCCCAATCACACACCTTTAAAGTCTACCCAACCACGGAAAGCAGGTGAAATCGATAGGAAAAAGTATACAGACCCTGATAGAATAAGAGAACAACGCTCACAGTCACAGATGTCTCATCCCTCGTCCTCCGCCGGCGGCCCCAGTGACCCGAGAAGCCCGGCCGCCCGGCTGGCATACATCTCCGAATTGATCGCGCAAAGGGACGCCTGCGAGGCTGCCCTGTACGCGCAATGCGTGGCCATGGACATGTTCACGCGCGGGCTTCCCCCTGTCGTTGAGCAGTCCAAGCGGTTTGACATTTGGAAGAAGCGCGCGGAGACTATTGTGGACACCCTCGAGGAGTTTCATGAATCTCATGTGTTCGATGACTCTGCCCGAGGCGAGCGGCTTATCCAGAACGCAATGGGGCGGAAACAATGGGCAGAGAGCCTACTAGAAGATCCGAGGTCTCTTCAGTCTTGGGCGGAGAGCGAGTTAAAGAAGGTCAAACTTTAGATTACTTTACTTCAATATAAGATTTTCGAGCTCGGGAGTATGATCGGAAATGAGCAAGAGAAGCACGACAAGGAAAATGGGCTCGGAAGGGGGAGTAAACGAGCTTGAGAAGAGTAAGGCGAGTTGTTAGTCCTCTTCAGCTAGTGTACCCCGCTGGTTTCCGTTACTGACCTTCTAGGCAGTGGAAATTCATTTCGCTGAAGCCTGCCCGGGTGACGCTGTGTTGGAGGAATAAGATTCTAGCGGGTCCGTCAATGATTACTTAGGTGATGGTTAACCATCTCTGTAGATCTAGATATGAATAGAATCACTCCCCTATGCCCTTTAATGACTTCCCCAGTGCTATTGGAACTGTGAGCAAAATCACAGTCTTAGTTATGGATCCGGAAATGAACAGGGTGCGGGTGGACATGTCGCTCGCATGCATCCCCATGGGCAATCAACCGGCCAAGGTGTTTTTACTCCCATATTATTGTGAAAAACGTGAATATATGTAAAATGTTCCCGTGTATTTTATATACAAAGAATAAGAGGGGCACCAAATCTGAGTCTGTGATCATTTGGAACACCCGCTCATTGTAGTCGCCTCATCATTGGAAAACCGTACTTATATATAGGAATGGTGGCCAGAGGATATAAGAAAACTTTTTTTTTTCAGATTTTGGTAGTTTGTATTTACCAACGGGGGAAGGGCTAATCAGTCAGTAATACCCTGGGGTTGAGCGGCCAGCTTTGGATTGAGACCGGCAATGGGTGTGGATGAGTCCCGGGGTGGATCATTTGCAATTGGCTGTGTTTCGGTATTCGGAGGTGTTTAGTCATCTCCACCAGGTGTACCAAAGTTTGCCAAAACGTAGTAGACTATCTCGTGAAATTATGCAAGGATTCAAAATGTATTCGTCATGTCTCCAGATTTTGATGTTGGGGCTGGGCCCGGAAAGCGTGAGAATGAAAAGCAAATGCACGATAGCATCACTGTATGGAGAGATAGATCTCCTGGTAAATTCTCCCGAATATCATAGCACTCTTTGTGGGATGACCTTGAGTTGTTGTTTGGGGCGGTTATAAAGTTAGCTTTTGTTGATTTAAAGCTTTGACATAAAGAGACCACTCCAGATCTGCAGAGGTGGTAGATACTGCCAGATGCGGGAGGAACGGAATGTAAGGGAGCGAGCAGTACCAAGAGTTATATATTGGGATACCAAACTGGGCAGTAGTGTCACTATTCCTTTCTAAAGATTATAAAAGATAAATCCATATTCTAGGGTAGAGTGCACAAAATAATCGATTACCGATATCCGTTAAGATGAAGGATCTGGCAACTATCTTCTGCCGTTTTTTCATCTAATTCATTCATAGTATGCATGCAGCGTTGTGGCTATGGCAATGGGTTTTGTACCTGTGTTTTTAGCGGGGTAATTGATTGATGGCCCTGATCATGTGATTCACATATATATATGTATATATAAGCCTCCTTGGAACATGTCCCAACCCACTCCTCTCTCCCCATAAAAAATCAGAATTTTCACCACATTCATAATCAAGCACAAATTTCACAAGTAAGTATTTCATGTCGTGTCCCAAAGTATAATCATCCTTGCTAATATGTATCTCTATAGTGCCACCAATCACTGCCAACGCCGCCCTAATTGCTGCTATGGAAGAGCGCATGGCCTTGCATGAGCTCGATCTCGCAGATAACGAGGCAAAACTTGTGACATGCCGTCGTGACTTTGCCTGTGTAAACATGCATCATACCGTCTACCGTGCGAAACTTTGCCACCATGGGTATAACTTCCAGACAGGAACCACTCCACTTGGTGATAGAGAGACGTTCCCGATCGAAGAATTAGTGAGAACATTGGGTGATTTGGCATACGCGAAAAGGGGTCATCTCTACAGTCTGCACAATCTCGGCAGAATCAACAAGGACATCAGTTGGGACATCATGAAGCTTCGGGAGATGATTCTCGATTACAAGGGAATGATCGAGGAGGCTGAAAAGGAGCGGAGGAACAACGAGGAAGGTAAGATTAGCAGGTCCTCACTCTTCTTTTTACAGAGCTGTACTCATGAATGACAGCCGCCGCCGAGGAAAGCTCTCCTTCCGAACAATGAAATTAAGGCTTGTCTTGACGTAATGCGCGCCAGTCATCATAGCAGGGGGCCGAAATACAACACATCGAATGGTTGGATTGGATGGGGTTCTTTAGTTCTATTATATGCATAAAAGGTTATTCTCGTGGGTATTGTTTGGGGAAATGACCAGTGCTAAGCGATAATTCTGTAGCGTTTAAACTGATGATATTGTAAACCGGATTCCCTTGACTTGATGGTTGATGATACCCTCAAGTCTTCGGAGAATCAAGCCCTATTTATACATGTTGGAACCTATGCCAAGGCCCGCTTTCTAATACTAACTGATACAACGATAATAGAATAAGATAACGCTTCCGAAGATAACCCAGATAGAAAAGCGCCCCCGCATAGTCCCGTCCTCCATTCTAATTCCGACACGTAACCCCGAACCTTGCAATTGCCAGTCATCGGGCTGTACCATACTAATCCTGGACCTACTTCCCTAAGTAGAACAGCCTGCAGCCGTAAGCCCCGCTCCCTATTCTATTCCGGGTGAGACACCCAATAGTAAGCGTGCCGTCATGCTAGTATAGTACTAGTGTGGTAACACCGCGTGCCCCCACATTACCCGATACCTTTCTATGCTTGTCCTTGTTACCCGACCGTACTCGCATCACAACCCGTCACTCGTATTCCTCATTGTCCTAAGCCCCTAGGACAGTGTTCCGTAATTCCTGTAACACTACTCCCCCTTCCTAGACGTCGCCCTCGACCGTTAAAACCTTTCTATGATAAAAACCCTGTGGGAAAAGTCATAGAGTAGGGAAAGGTATCGAGCTTAGTCTCGCCTGTTCCGTTGTCGTTTATGAGCCCAGTCATTATTGATCGCTGGGGCTCGACTTCGCGTATGAGGTCGTATGTTCGAGGTTGGCTGGAAATTCTCGTCTGCCAATGCCTCCTGTGGCTCGGGTGTTGCCAGTCGCTTTCGTGTATTTTGTTTCCTGGTGGGGTCCGGGTCCTCGCGATAGGGTCGCAGCAGCATCTCGTGAAAGACGTCATGAACCTTCCATTCTACCGGAAGTTCCAGGCGGTACGCCCGATTGCCGACCACTGCTGAAACTACGAATGGTCCTGTAAACTTGTCTGACCATTTGGAGTATCCTCCTAGGTTTCGAGTATCCAACAAGACTTTTTGACCGATAGTGAACCGCTGTACTGCCGGTCCTGGCTTTGACGCCATCCTGTCGAAGGTCTTCTGTAGTGTATCTCTCGCTAACTCATGAGCCGTAATGATCTCATCCAAGTACTTGTTCCCGTTGGCGTCTAATCGTTCGATCTCTGCATCCGTAGGCCAATCCGTTCGAGGGTGGAAGCCATAATTGCAGTAGAACGGCGATTGCCCCGTCGACGTATGCTTCGCATTGTTGTAGGCGTATTCACAGATAGGTAACAGGTCCTTCCATTTCTTGCCTGTTCCTGCCGTATATGCCCGAATATAACCTTCCATGTGTTGGTTGGTCCGCTCTGTTTGGCCGTCGGTTTGGGGGTGGAATGAGGTGGAGAGTCTTCTACGAATCCCCAGTCTGTCCGTAATTGCCGCCCAGAATGCTGACACGAACTGCGTTCCTCTGTCTGAGACGATGCTCCTAGGAAGTCCGTGGAAACGCCAGATGTCTTTGACGAATGCGTTAGCGGTTTGTTCCGCGTTGATTCCCGTCATTGGAATGAAGTGAGCCATCTTCGTAAAACGGTCCACGACTACCAATACGTTGCGGAATCCTGATTTCTCCTTAGGCAATTCTACTACGAAATCCATTGAGATATCAGTCCAAGGTGTGGTGGCTAACTCTAGGGGTTGAGGGAGTGACAAGTGTCTCCGACGTTGCTTGGCTCTCTGGCATACATCGCAAGTCTTGACGAAGTTGGCTACATCCGTGGACATTCCTGGCCACCAGTAGTTCCTATCAATCAACTCGAGGGTTTTATCCCTTCCTAGATGCCCCGCTACGGGTCGATCATGATGTTCCTCAATGACCTGCTTGACCGCGTAGCCCGGTACTACCCATCGACCATCGTGGGTGGGGTCATTCGAATCAGGACTCCATTCAGTGGCAGGCTCTACCTTTACGATAGCGGCCTCCGGTGGTCCGAAGATCTCAAGGTTTGAATCAGGGAGGTGTTCATCCGGAACCATCCTCCGAACCCATTGTCCTTCCTGTTCATACCAACCCTGTAGTGGCTGAGGCAGCTCTACACTCGGTATGTCTTACCACTGATTCAACTGATTCCATTCCTCTTCGGGGTTCCCAATCACTTCAGACCCAGTTTCTACACTGGTCCGTGATTTTCTGACAAACTGTTCTGCGCTGAGTAGCTGTTTTACGGGCTGCTCACGCATTACTCCCCCTTCCATGGCGAACTCCGGACGCCTTGTGAGTGCATCTGGCTTGCCGTTCTTTTCGCCTGGTCGGTAATGGATCTTGAAGCGAAAAGGTGCTATCTTCTCGGCCCATCTGGCTTGTCTTCTCGACAACTACTTGGTCGTTGTGAAATACTGCAGGTTTTGGTGATCCGAATGTATCTGGATAGGGATGTCCGTCCCTTCCAGCCAATGTCTCCAAGTTAAGAGGGCAGAAACTATTGCGAGCATCTCCTTGTCGTAGATCTCATAGTTGACCTTTGCCTCGTTGAACTTGCGAGAGTGGTAAGCTACCGGATGTAGGATACCGTCCTCGAACACCTGGGAGAGTACTGCGGCCTCGGCCCAGTCACTCGCATCAGTCTCCACGATTGCTTCGCGGTGTTCGTCATAGTGTCGGAGTATTGGAGCAGACGTAAATCTCCTCTTGAGCTCGTTGAATGCATCCTGCTGTTCCCTGCCCCATTTCCATACGGAACCTTTCTTCAGGAGATCTGTCATAGGTCTGCAAACCTCAGAGTATCGGTGGATAAACCGTCTCAGGAAATTGGCGAATCCGAGGAAACACTGAAGTTCCTTGACTTTGGTTGGGGCTAACCAACCTTCGATTGCCTGAACCTTTTTAGGTGATACTCGGTTCCCTTTTCCTGATAGTATAAATCCCAGGAATTCTACCTCCTGTTGATACCATTCCGTTTTCTCGAGGTTTCCGTATAGATGGTGTCGTCGCAGTCGCTCCTAAACTTCTCGTACAAGAGTCGTATGCTCTTCTCTAGTCTTCGAATACATTAAAATGCCATCCAAGTAGACTACTACGCCTTGATCTAGAAGATCCTTGAATATGGTATTGACCGCGGCCTGAAACGACGCAGGAGCGTTGGTCAAGCCAAAAGGCATTACCCTATATTCGAAGAGGCCGTATTTCGTTCGGAAAGCGGTTTTCCATTCTTCGCCCTTAGCAATCCTAATCAGATTATAGCCATTTTTCAGGTCTATTTTCGTGAAGTAGAGTGCTCCTTTCGTTGCGTCGGCCAGCTCATTCATAAGCGGCAGTGATTAGCGGTTCTTGATCGTGATTCCATTCAAGCCGCGAAAGTCGACACATAACCGAAGCTTACCATTTGCTTTCGGAACGAACAGGACGGGTGCCGCTGCTGGGCTGGTGGAGGGGACTACTTTGCCGGAGGGCAGATGTTCGTCCAAATATTCCCGGAGTGCCTTGTCTTCAGGTGGGGAGAGCGAATAGATCGGTCCCCACGGCGGCTGCTTTCCTTCCATAAGAGGAATGGTATGATCCCATTCAGAGTGGTCAGGTAGTCGAGCGGCTCCTTCCTTGGAGAACACGTCGGCGTATTCCTGAACCTCCACCGGTATAGGACTAACGAGAGCCTCGTTTACCGATGCTCTTGCCCAAAAGGGGTGTTGCTCGATCCTCATCTGCTTCTTGGGTGACGCCCTCAACAGCCTGATGACCAGCTCTTCTGGGTCTTGGTCGTATATGTCCTCGACTGATACGAAGCATCCATTGACTATGCAGTTGTTGCTATGGAAGCTGACACTGTTGCGTCCCCACTGGATGGTTGGTTGATGCTCCTTGAGCCATCGATGTGGTACAACGAGGTCTTCTCCTGCAAACGAGCCAACCTCACAGGTGATAGCCCTGTCTAGATGGTTGCCGATGCGGAGGGTAAGGGGTTGAGTGATGTGGGTGCCGGAATTGGGCATAGGGGTACCGTCGGCCTGTCTGATGATGAGAGGCTTTGGTCGAGTTTGAGTGGGTATTTTTGCACGGTGGATGCAGTCCCAGGACATTATCCAGTCCTCTGTACCACTGTCTAAGAGTGCGTTGACTGTTGCGACATGTTTGGTGCTAGTTGCGGGGTGGTCCCAAGAGATCTCGATCTCGAGACGAGTTTCTTGTGTGTTGGAAGACATGTTTGTATGTTGGTCTGATAAAGGGTTTGTATTGGTTTCTTAGGTGTGGTTTTCGATGATTTTTTCGTCGTTGAGCGCGGGGTGAGGGGGTTTATATAGAGAGTTCGAGTGTTTGATGAAAGTCATGGTATAACACTTACGCACCCGGCGTTTTTCGGGGTGTAACCCCGTCCTCAGAGTGTGTGTAAAGAGAATTGAATTTCCGCGCGTGTAGAAAACAAATATAAAAGATCCCGTAGCCAACCGATAAGAATAACCATAATACATAAAATCCTGGTTTCCATAACCCAAAATAGAAAGAACCCGTAACGCAACATGAGATACGGAAAAATTAGAAATAACCAATCAATTTTGATCCTCCAAAGTTGTAATCCTTGCCCTAAATGCCTCATTCTGGGGGCCTAATTTCCGCTTCTTCTCACCCTCCCTTCCGTGGTCCTTTCCTCCGGAAGGATACCGTTTCCTCTTCAGGTCGGTTAACCTGACCTTACTCGTCGCCACGCAATCTTTCGCGAAGTGGTTATCTCTACCACAACGGAAACACTTTCCTCCCTTTTGCCACTTCTCTTTTTCGTCCTTGGTGACAGCTAAGTCATCCGATGCCTTGGAGTTGTGTGTTGGCATGGAGAAAGTTTTCCGAGGTGCGGAGTTGCGCGATTTTCGCCGTTCCGACTTTTCTTCACGAGGTTTCACGACATCCTTGCCACGTAAGATTTCCTTTCGGGCCTTCACCTCGTGATACTTTCGTCCGACCTTCCTAACCCAGGCTAGCCATTCCGCGAAATCTTCTGGTTCCTCGATCGCGTTTGAGAGGCGTTGTTCCAGCGAGGAGTTTATTCCTGTTAGGATCATGGATTTCATTACGATGGGTCCGACCTTCGCGTCCCATTCCAGATTCTGCATCTCGTTGATGTAGTCATCGATCATGCCAGTTTGACGGAGCTTATCCATCTTCTGCTTGGCCTGTTCCTGACTGGTCCGATTGCCGTATTGAATCCGTAATTCGTTTTTGAAATTTTCCCATGTCCCGATGCTGGGGTCTACTGATAGTCGCTCCACGAAGTTTCGCCAGAATTTTGCCGCACTCCCAGTAAGTTCCAGGGATGCCCACAGGATCTTGGTTTGGTCGTCCCACCGGACTTTCCTCTGAAGTTCAATTAAGACTTCCATTTGGTCGATCCAGTGTCGTACGTCTTCGTCGGCTTTTCCGGAGAAGGGGATTTTTGCCTGTTTTGGCGTATCTCCCAGGGTGGCGCGAGGGGGGTGCATGAGGTCTACCTCTTGCTGCCTATTACGGCGGTTTCTCTCCTCCCGTCTTCTCTGCCTTCGTTTGCGTGCTCGACGATCGTCCTCTGAATCAGAGGAGCTGGATGAGTCTGAGGGGGATGGATCTCGTGGTCTTGCGCGATTTCCGACATTGCCGTTGTTGCCGTTACCTCCGTTGCCTCCTTGCTCGCTTCGTTGGCTCCTTACCTCAGAGCGAGGGGGTACGGGAGGTTGGCTCCCTGATCCTTCCGGTCTTTCTCCGGAATTGCTAGGGGGGTTCTGTGGAGGTTGGGGGGGTACTACGCCTCCGCCTCCTGAGCCTTCGGGGGCTGCTGCCGTTCTATTGGCTGCTACCAGCATCTGCTCAATAATCTCCTCTAGGTTTTTCTTTGTACCTGCGAACTGGTCTTCTATCGCAGCTTGTCTGTCCCGTTCCATCCTTTCGAGGGCAGCCATAACCTCCGCGGGTATCTGCACAGGGCCATCTTTCGGGAGTTGTTGAACGAAGTTGGTCAGCGCATTTATGTGCTGATCCTGTCGCTCCTGCCTTTCCTGATGCGCCCTAGTTGCTTCGACGATCTGCCCGAGGACTTGACCGAGGGTGCTGGTAGCGGCGGTGGATTCCGCTCGTAGCTGAGCCATGACTTGGTTGAGCTGATTGTCTCGCTCGGCTCTGTCTCCAGCGAACTTGGTGTGGAGGTCCTCGACGACCTTGTTGGTATACTCCTGCTGCTGCCGGGTGAGTTCCCTGAGTATGGAGATATCCCGCACGTGCATGCTCAGTTCCTCGATCCCACGGCTGAGTTGCTGCACCACTGGGGCCCCTTGCCGCTGGACTTCTTGCCCAATGAGGTCGCCGAGGGGATTCTCCACCCGCGGTTCCTCTACGTCCATGTTGGTATCCTCGTCGTCGTCCATTACCCGAGGCACCGAGGGCCTCTGAGTAGAGGATCTCTCTCTGATGGGGGTGACGTATGGGGAGAACTCCCTGTGGTCTGCCTGCCGCCTCCTCACCTGCCCATATGATTCTTCCTGCCTCGTCGATGCGAAGAGGGAGCCTATCGGCACATCTCTCTCTTTCCTGTGGCGTCTCTTCGCCTGGGTTTCCAATATACCTCGATCTCTCAAGGCGATTGAACTCTCCATGTTGTAGTCTTCCTCCGACCGTTGCTGATGAGCCCTTGACATTGCTAAGTTGCTCGAGTTTGAGCTGTGGATGCCTTCTGCACCAGGGTTGAGCAATGAACCAGGGGGCTGGATGAGTAAGTCCGAAAGATCGTTGGGAGAGAATGATCTTGATCGGGAAGAGTTCTGGGTAGTTGAGGATTTTGGGGTCGTGTTCCTCGAAAGTAGCGGTAGTTCCTGCTTCTGCGAAGAAACCTGTGTAGTGGAGGTATCCGCAGTACAGATGTTCGGCGCTTCCTCTTCGTACAATGAAGGATGTAGCGCAAAGGTAGTTATCAATGGCTGCTGTTGCCACTCGTGGGTGCATATAGTACCTTGGTCTTTCTAATAGACTAAGCGCTTATTCTTCTACTGAGAGCACGGTGACTATCCGCCACTAAGCAAAATACTCAGAGTATGGGTTTAAGCGAGTAGTTGTCTTATCGAGACTTTGGTAGGGTATGCGATAGGTAAAGAGTAAAGTTAGGGATAAGGTACAATATAGTGTTTCATTCCTATAAGCCATACATTTGAAAAAATTACCGCCGATTACAACAGTAACTATGTAAAGCGTACTTAAGAAATAAAATCTGGCTTTGCTCTTCAAGTATTTCAAGGATCTCTAGTGTTTCCAATAGCGTAGAGTAGGTAGTAAATACCTCGCTAAGAAACCCGCCAGGTCCAACTTGCAACTCATCAAACGGATGTTACTCAGAAATCGGCGGTCTCTACAGGTCTTAGCGAGTCGCTGTTCTGTAGTCCCCTATTCCTTTCGGATTCCTGACTTGATGGTTGATGATACCCTCAAGTCTTCGCAGAATCAAGCCCTATTTATACATGTTGGAACCTATGCCAAGGCCCGCTTTCTAATACTAACTGATACAACGATAATAGAATAAGATAACGCTCCCGAAGATAACCCAGATAGAAAAGCGCCCCCGCATAGTCCCGTCCTCCATTCTAATTCCGACACGTAACCCCGAACCTTGCAATTGCCAGTCATCAGGCTGTATCATACTAATACTGGACCTACTTCCCTAAGTAGAACAGCCTGCAGCCGTAAGCCCCGCTCCCTATTCTATTCCGGGTGAGACACCCAATAGTAAGCGTGCCGTCATGCTAGTATAGTACTAGTGTGGTAACACCGCGTGCCCCCACATTACCCGATACCTTTCTATGCTTGTCCTTGTTACCCGACCGTCCTCGCATCACAACCCGTCACTCGTATTCCTCATTGTCCTAAGCCCCTAGGACAGTGTTCCGTAGTTCCTGTAACAGGTATACTATAATATTAGACAAGCAATTCAACTCTCTGAATTTTCACATTTTGTCATGATTGCCTTGACAACTGAGTATGATTTCTGAACTATGTAATATTTGGAAGTTACACATTTGTCGTGGTTTCTGAAGCCTACTCTCTACATCAATCTTGATGTATCCTCAGAGAATATAGTTGAAGCTCGTTGCCGCGTGGCCTTAGCCCGGACGTGATATATATACCCAGTCTCGCTTGTTCCGGCCGGGTGCGGGACTAATTGATAGTAATTTCCTACAGTAAAATCTATGAATAATGATTTCTTGCAGTAGCATCGTGAAAGACATGCATATCGCTTATCGTGGGATAGTGGACAATACCCTCATGCTTTGCAACGGCTGAAAACCGCCTATGAATCCAAATGGCGTGAGGAAAGCTGGTGGGTCAGTGATGTACTATGTTAATTGTATTTTTTCCTTTCGTCAAATGATGTCGTTTGTTATGTGTGCTGGACCCATATTCTACGAACCTAAAATTGATGGCCCCAGAAGTCGGAGGTAGTCCGGCCAAAATTCCCGTATATGGGATATCCTCGCCTGGCTAACCCTAAGAGTCACGAGGACTGACCTTTCCTGACTTTTTTGAAGCCCAGGACCGCTGAATTAATTGAGTTGAGGGGTGGTGCAAACCGCGCGTATGATAATTGTGCCGTGCATGGTCATGTGACGTTACCACCGTCTACCCTGTGCGAGGTTGAGTTCCACCCGATCTTCTCTTCCAAAATCTCCACCATTCACACCTTCAAAAACAAAAAAACACAACAACCTATCACATTTTCCCTCTTCAATTATCAAGCGAAGAGGTAAGTATCAAATGCCCACCTCTATTATACAACAACTAGATTACTTACCGAGACTTGCGTAGTAACTATGTATCCGACCCCCGCCTACATCGTCAACGCTGCCTACCACCTAGGCACCCTCGAGCGCAAGCCTCGGAACAACAAGGCGGTGCTCACATGCCGTGCCAGCGAGGATCTCCGCGCCCACCCCAAAGCTCCAGAAGACTTCGAATGCCTCATCGATACAGAGACCGCCCCGGAGGTATACCAGCTACGCACGATTCAGACGAAAATGCATATCAGTAAAACCATCGATCTCACAGTCATAGAACTTGGGGCCGCGGATACGGTTCACGAACTGCGGAGGACTCAACCTATGATCTTATGGGAGATAGACGCGCTCAAGAGGCTCATGGAGGGAGATGAGGCGAGCTGGGTCTACTCGCACGTTTCTTCAAGTCTGCCCTGGATCTGCGTGAACCTCGTGGCAAGAACCGGTAAACCAAAACGGAAAAGGGGGGAGGATTATGATGGATAAACAGAACACCTGGTATCGGGAGTGGTAAATCTGCTTTTGTAAATTATAAAGGATTCGCTGAGCCATTCTTCGAGTGCCTCCCCTGTGGTACAAAAACGGAATAGATAAGTAGTCAGGATAACCGTTTGGTGGTGACGAATTGGTAGAAAAGGGTATATTTTACCTTTATTTAGGGTAACAGAGGTACTTATTACACTATTACGGTAATGCTATCCTACAAATCTGGTGAGTTATCCTCTGTCTGTGGATGCTACGCGGCTGGAGAAAAGGGGGGGGGGCAGGGTCTGGAGGGGTCGAGAACTGTGACGTTTAGAGTGACTGGGAACACTCACAGCAGCTGGCAGGCGGAGGTCATCACCGCCATCACCGGCACCGCTATCATGAAGCTGTCAGTGATGTCGTACTGCACTACGCATGAGACCCGGTCTCGCCAGAATGATGTGCATCTCAACCTTTAAACAATAGTATTTCCCAACTTTTGAGACCCTAGCTCTGAAGGAGATGGTTTGAAGGTGATGCTGATATAGCTGATTGATGATTTCTTAATCCGAAGATATTTGTATAATGAAGCTGTAAAGGTTCGTGATAATCGCTAGTATATCCTTCTAGCTGAGATACCGTGACAGCCTGGATAGCTTATCCCTCCTGGGCTGAGTGCCTGGGTTTAGTTCCTCACGATATCCTGTCTGTCCTACAAGTTATCATTTCCACCCCAATCATGCAGAAATTGTTATTTACTACACATAAAAAAAAGGATAACTTATCCTAATCGTACCAGAGTCGATGTACCACATGGCTCCCAGCCCAACCCAATATGATACCAGCAGCATGCTCAATAGCAATGGTTCTTCTGAGATCCTCTTTCTCTTCAATAATTTCTTTCTTACAAGTAATGTGAGGACCAATAACCACCAATACATCAACTAGATCCCCAATCCTTATTTTATAGTTGGTTATTATGACCTTCGGTGCATCCACTTTGCAGCTATTAACTCCAGCCCACCTCCCCAGACCTTCAACCCATCACGTCTATGAATCTAAATAGCCAGACTCAACGTTACTAGCCCCTGGACTAAAAGCAAGCCTTCCCTGACCTTCTATCCATTTCCTAAAGACCTGGATATGGGTGGTCTAGGGATATGGAGGGTTCCTGCTCATCCGCGGGGGCGAGGGGTGGGTGGTGGTGTCTGAAGGGATTAGAATATTATAGTAGGACACAGAGAATTGCAAAAAATACTCCAATACCTCGGCATGAGGTAAAATTGTGAATTGTGAACGACATCTGACTATCCCTATGAGACAACTCCTCACAGGGCTCTCCCACGCTTTGGAGGGGATTCTCTTCTTCGTTTCACGGGCTACCCCCAGAATCGAGTACACAAACACCACAAGTACAGAAAGAGAAACCTCTGGTTTGGGAGGATGAAGCACCTCCTTATCCTCATCCCGATCCTTGTGACCTGTGGTACCTACAGTATAGTCCTACATGTTCAATTACAAGTGGTGGGATCGAACGTATGTCTAGCTCGGGCTCACTAAGGGAGGACGCGAACAATAGATATATTTCAACCCTGAGGACCAGGCGGAGAAAGAATACGGAGTTAGCCGCTCCCCCGGGTAAAAGAAGCGCTGGTGCGGAGATATTTGAGTTTTTGAGTACACAATGGAGATATTTTAAGTAATTAATAGTTTTAGAGACTAAATAAAGAGAGAGAAAATATAGTCGAGCTACTATGCACCCTGATATCCTGTATCTGGACTTAGGGGCCTTATGTATTGCGGTGCTGTTTTTTAGCAGCTGCGAACATTTGAGTTCTGAAAGAATGGACTAGTATTCATTAATAACTCATTACGTAAACCCGCGAAGATGAATATATATAAGAGCATGCCGTGTAAGAGCCGGCCTGTAGAGCATGAATTTAGAACTATATAATTACCCCGAAACTTGTGTTCTGGCTCGTGGGGGGTCCCTTGTGCTCCCGTGGCCTTCAAGAGTCGTGAATTCTGACCACAAACTGAATAGATTTCATTTCCGGATTAGGTATTTTCAGCAATACCTTAAATTATGTATATATATATGAGATCTATTTATGATATGAGATCTATTTATGACATGAGCTCTACTAAAGAGAAGTACACTATAGGTCTACCATGTAACTTGTGCTTTCAAACCTTACTGCAGATCTTTCGGGTCGCTTTACCCGAAAGGGGCATGGATGGTGATATAGCCAACTTGCGTAGGAGTGATGAGTCCAGCATATAGATACAAATCAATACCTGGGTACATTAATTGCCCTTAGGATGAATGTTGTCATTTTAGTAACTGCAATGCCCACATCCCGAACGCTAAGCACCACAGCGTGGCTTTCAAAAACATTCCAGCACCTGCCACAAAGCGAGTGATATCCCATGATGCCAAACCTCCTTGAGCGTGCTTCGAATTCGCGAGGTAACTAAGCATTAAAACCATCTATTTAGTACGCGATTATCCATGTCCCCGTGGTGGGCTGCGCGTGAGTGATCGGGAGCTAACCGGAGGACTGACCTTTCCTGCGAGAATCAAAGCCGGTAAAGACAGCGGGAGCTTAGGAAACGGACTGGAAGGCTAAAGGAGAAATGTTTCATAATGGCAAAGTCAATCCCAGAAATGCGAAGATAGAGGGTTTGGGCATGTGGCAGAAGCTGGCCTTGTTCAGTTGACACTGAAACAAGTCCAGTCATGGGTGCTGAGCAACCCCTTCATCGATCGGGGATTAAAAGACGTAGAGGAATAATCACACTTTCCGGTAAAAGCTATTGAGTAAAGTAAACCACTTCATAATCAAGGTAGAACAATCCTCACAATCTCTCTTGCACTGCACTGACTGGAGTGAGGCGTTTCATGAAGGTGCATCCTGTTGCTTACCTTAGCAGTTAAACTAGTTATATATTAGCAGTCTGTGAATTTGCCATCGCACCAAAGGGTTCTATGCAGTATGTAAGAAGGATGGGCAAGGATTTGAAAGATGTTGTTTGCATCTTGCGGCTGTGCGGGGAGGTTTCCTCTAGGAAGAAATCTGTATATATGTCGTGGACGCTGATCATAACAAAGGAGGCTTAAGATTTTGAGCTGCTCTCGTATACTTTGAGTGAGCTGAACTGCGATTTGGACGTATGTGCTTATATATTACCTCCATAATAGCAATAGAGAAATGGAAATCATAGTACGTCGAGCTGTCTCCCTCCACGCCCACATGGAGAGCAGCAAAGATATCTAATGAACAATGGCCAAAAAAAGGTCGGCCATAACAGACGCTAGTACCGTATCGGGGTCTAGTGCAAAATGTATTTGCGCTGCCACGGTAACAACTGCCGCCACGGCTCCCAATTCCATTTGAGCCCGTAGCAACCCTAACTAGAACCTCGTGCTTCTTAATCCCTTCAACAGATGCTCTCACATCCTCGATATCCAAACAAAATCACCACAATAACTCACCTTTAGATTCGCAGTTTCCTTCATTCTCAGTAGGTTTCTGCCTTATACTATTCAATGTGTAGATATACTTACCAACCCACTTTCTTCACCAGGGATGCCGAACACTAGCATTGTCGTAAACTATGACCTTATGGATGAACATACTGCCGATCCGATGTACCTCGAGTACCTCACGTGCCGCAAGTACCAGCTCCACTACGCTGTCATCAGTCGCGAAGATGAGCTCGCGGTCTGTATCACAAATAACCACAAGGCGGAAGACGCCATCCGCACCCAGATCGCAACCATCGATAAGGTCCAGTACAACGGGGACACTGAGGGGACTGCACCTTTCAAGACGATGCTCTATAGGCTCGAGGAGCTCAAACGAGTGAAATCAAACTCTGCCCCCATCATGAATGAGACGGCCTTACTTGTGAAGAGTCTCAAGGCTGCGCTCGCGGAGATCGAGCTTGAAGTAGACTATAACGAGAGACTAGTTGATGAGGCTGAGGCCGACCAGATGAAGGAATATGATGGTAAGAATGTCCTATGCGTAGTCCTGAGAGAATCGGGCTCATAACATGTTATAGACCAAATCAACGAAGAGCAAGCGATCACACGGACGCCTCCCCCTCGATCAAATCAGAGGAGATAGAGATTCCCAGGGACAACCAGATGATCAAGGAAGAAGGTAAGATCGGCTCATAATCGCCTTGGGGAAATCGACCTGAGAATTTGTGCTAGACGAAGACTATCAGTACGACCATGGCGTGAAGGTGGAGGAGGTCGACTAGGAGGGATAGTAGTGGTCGGAATCGCAGGCTGAGGAGAATTCTAATCCTTGCCGCCACGTACCTTGAGAGGCGCTATAAACTTCAAACCAGTTCGGGAAGCGGTATAGGAGTCATCCTTCTAATAGCATGTATTTTCATTGGGTGCTTCTTATGTTTATCATTAATCACGAATGGAATACGAAGTTATGTCTCCAATAAAAAACATATTCTCTTCTGGTGAGCAGTAACTAGAACCTTTGAAATTAAACTATACCATACTTCCCTACTACCTTTCATTATCTATCCGCCCAACTAAGTATAGTTTTTCTTTCTTTCCTTTGTTTTCTCAGCTTTCACAGTTTGTATTCCCTGGTGCACAGAGCGGTTGATCGGAGATGTTGATACTGCTATGTGTAGTGTAATGATAATATAATTCCCAAATCCTGCAGCAGCATCACAGTCTATTTGACTCCCTGAAATCATGTCGAAATCTGCCTGTTCTGTACGGCGGTCCTCGGGAAGGAATTTGCGTATATATTCGCTGAAAGAATATTGAAACCCTCATAGCTTTTTCTCCCCGGCCCTAGCGTATAATAATCGATGATATCGTCATTTACCGGGGTTATTTCGTCATTTCTACTAATTGATGGTAGATTTTAGTTAAAAATTAACCTTATTTCTCTACGTATAAAGATACCTCTCCCCTCCTCTCTGCGCTCCAGAACCTCCCCATCCCCTGTGGTACAAAACAGTGGGATTTGAGTTAAACAGCCATCTCCAATTTAGGGTAAACTCAAGGGCTAGCAATGATAAACTGTGTACTCTCCATAGCTATAGGTAAGCTTCTAACAGTTCCAGTCCAAGCGAGGTGAATTCAACTTGTACCATATACGTTTACGAATTGTTTAAATTTAACCTACAGAGTTTAAACTAGTTTATAGAAAACAATTTTTAAACGTATATGCTAGGGAGTTGAACTCATCTGGGTTCAGCTAATGCAGCAAGCAGAAATCTAGAGTAAAAAATAAAATGGTGACTGCGTCTAGTACATTGTGCCTGGCTTGTAGCCTCCGCTGACGATATTCATACCATACCCAGTCTTCCCCTTGCTAGAAGCACTCTTATTCCATACTTACTAGTGGAAGTTCGACGGTGCTAGCAGTCAAACCTCTGACCTTTTCTCTCCAATGTCCACCTTGATGCCACTGCACTAGCATCAAATGTACAGAGTAACCCACACTCCACCTAAATGTACCTAGCTGCTTCATTTACCACCTACCCGGCTACATACTCAGTACCCCGCTTATATCTCCCTCCGACCAGCTGCTGCCTGCTTACCTCCGTACCTGACTCCCTACCTACCTGCCCACACACCAATCAGGAGTTTATTTGACATTGATTCGATGCACTGTCAGTCGTCGCTTTGGGCGTATATTTGGGCTAAGGTTTGAGCGTCGACTTGGTGCAATTACCTAAGGATTTGGGCATCAATTTAGGCATCAATTTGGTGCTAATTTATGGTAAGTTAGGAGGTAGGGGTCTAGGTAGGGAGGCAGGTACTATAGGGGTTTAAAGTAAACGAAACACTAGGGTGTTTGAGGTAAAGGTATTTAGGTTTGATAGGATTAATATATGTAAAAGATACTAAGGTTCAGTGTAAACTAAACTCATGGAAGTTTGATTTTAGAGATGCCAACTCAGGCATGTTTAAGTTAATTAAGCAGCCCAGATCCAGGTTTATGTTAAATAAATGTGAAAATGATAAACACCTTCAAGTTTAAAAAAGCTCCGAGGTTTACCGTGCCCCCTGTTTGATTAAGTTGCGCAATTGAGATGTTTGGGTTAAACGCTAGTACACATATTTTGTACCATAGTGTAGAGGAATTAAAGTCTCGATAGCTTTTCCTCCACCAATTGTGAAAATCTAAAACGCACATCTCTTTTTCGCTTGTCACAAAGTTTCTTAAATACATCATCATAATAACAATTACAAGACAACACCACAGCTCCGGATCCTAACACCTTCCAGATGTAAATATTGTTGCCAACGCATTTGTGGTCGTTAGTGCTTTAAAGCCCCGGGATGCCAAACCTGTAACTTCTAACCTCCATAAGTCAAAGTTGAACCCAGAAATTCAAAGATAGTGAATCCACACTTGTGATGCAAGCTGCTCTTATTCCCACTTACACTGGAACAAGTTTAGTTATGGAGCTTACTGAGTGACCCCCTCATCAGGGAATTCAGAAATACCCCCTTGATTGTAGGTCTTCTCTGACTGGAGTCCGTGGAATCTGGCAAGTCTCAAGATATTAGAATGAAACACACCAAGTTTAGCTGCGACTACAGGTCAACTGTATGTAGAAAGATTTGATTTTGGCATCCTGTTCTTAGACCTATAGGGCTTCTCTTCGATATTGTGTTCACGTAGTTAGCAATGGTCCATAAATATTGTGAATTATAATCCACTGACTGGAATCAGTAAAATGGACCAAATAAGATGTAGGAGATACGGGAATGAATGTACCTTCCGGTAAAACGTATTGACTGAACCACTTCGTGGTCGAACCAGAAGAATCCGGCTAACCATCTCTCTACTGTGCAGACGGGAGTCAGTGAAGGTGCATCCTATTGCTTTCCTTGGTACTTATAATGGTCGGTGCGTACCCATTCGACCAGGGGTTCTATGGGGTAAGGAAGAAGAATTAAAACGGTTACAAGGATATGGAAGAGCTGGCGCACAGTGTACGGCCGCTTAAGGAGACTTCCTCTAAGGAGGAAACCCGTATATATATAGTGGAAGCTGATCACGAGAGAGGTATGGAATTGTGTGTGGTTATTATATAAATATAGGTTGATGAGGATGAATGTGCCTTTGAATGTATATATCACTATATCGCACATCTATACAAGAATGGATATCTCCAGAGGTCGGGTGATTGGACTCCTTAATGGCCAGGTGGCGACCTGGAAATATCGCTGGTGGGTGTTGGCAATGTTGGCGGAGATTTCGTCTAGAACAGACACTAGCACCGTATTGGGGTTTGGTGCAAAATGTATTTGGGCTGCCACGGTCAAGACTGCAACCAGGATTCTCAGTTCCATCTGAGCCGATAGTAACCCACCTAGAACCTCTTCTCTCCGCACTCCTCCAAATCATAATTCCTACACACAAACCTTCGGAATCTAAAACTCACCCAATCCACCTTTATCAGCAAAATGCTCCATACAAGTAGCTCCAAGTAGGTTTCAAAATTCAATAACTATATGGAATCAGCTACTGATAGCTACCAACCTTCCTCTAGAAATGCCAAACACAAGCATTATGTTAGTTACGACCTGATGGATGAGAATACGGCCGACCCTACGTACCTAGAGTACAATACCCTGAGAAAGGCGCATATTCAATACAAGCTCATCGATCACCAGGCTCAGCTCACGAAGTGCTTCATAGCCATTGGGAAAGTTGCGTAGGCCATCAATGCCCAGATTGAAAACATTGATACTCTGCAGTTCCACGGAGCCATGCAAGTGACTGGACTATTCAAGATCATACTCCACAGGCTTGAAGAGCTCAAAGGAGTAAGGATTGATCTTGACAGTATAACCGACGCGGTTGAGTATCGCATCAACAATCTTGAAGTGGAGATCGCGGAGCACGAGGTGGAAGTCGAATATAATGAGAAATTGGTTAACGAAGCCGAGTAGCGCAAATGGAGGAGTATGAAGGTGAGAAGGTGCTGTGAACAGAATTTATGTATATAGTTGAAATAACAGTATTTTGTAGAGGAGGTCAATGTGAGAAATAGGATGGACATGACTCCCGACTACTCGTCCGAATCGGATATGATGGAAACCCCGAGGAGCCGAGATCGTCATGATCAATAGAGAAGGTTAAATCCCCGAATGGGTTGTCTTGTGGAAGTGAGCTGACTATACCTAATAGAGGAACCCCATATCATTAAGATGGAAGGTAAGTTTACTGATGAACGACTGAGACAGGTTTGGCTAACCATGTGCGCATGATAGGCGAAGAGTACCAGTACAACCAGCAAGTCACTGCGTAGGGAAGGAAGTTTCGGAACGCTGAAGCAACTCTCTTGGGTAGTTTGAGACAGATTGCGATGCCGAAACGTGTTCAGGAAACCTGTAGGGAATATCTCTTTATGGATTATCCTTGTGATCTGTCACGAGGTTCTTTACAGTTGCCATGTTACTTTGGATAACTATTTGCCTGGATTATTTATCAGACAAGGTATGCAGTTAGAAAATGAAATTAATTCAAGTTCACTTAAATGATAACGACACAAGGACCTCTCTCAAGTAATAACGAAGACTGTTCACATGGCATTATATAATAGCTTTCTGTCACTCCCTATAACTCATGCTCCCAACCTATCAGACTTGTGAATCGAAGTTGATTTGTATCCAGGAACCCTGTCTACCACTCCCCACTCGACACGATGGTATTTGAAGAGGGGTTATATAATAAACATATTCCCACACCGAACGTTAAAATTTCAATTTGATTTCTTCTAGTAGCTATAGAAATGCATTGGATCTGACGTTTCCCATACAAAAGGTTTCGAGAAGCACATTGTTTGATCTATTAACTGAACGGCTGAGGGTTAGAGCCATTCGTGTCCCATTAACAACACTTTACCAAACCTCCACTGACGACTTTACCAGTTAAAGGCATGTTAAACGCAACAAGGATGAGTGTCTCCGGTGTTTCCTGGTAGCCGTTGGAGTTCCTCATCTAGATCTCAAGATAGTTGAGTACTCAAACAAGACATTTCGGTGGGGTATATAATCAAACGGTATATGGCATCAGAGCGGGCTTGTAACTGTTGGGGAATACAATTTACTTTTGGTGGCTCTATTGTTTGGCATATACGTGCGGACAACCCTGGGTTAACGCTCCTGGTATAATAGTAGAATACTCTCTGTTGATTCATTTCATTAGCGATGGCCTTGGTTAATGATGTGAACCCTCACGAGTGGCAAAACCTATCCCCCCCATGTATATACACTCAAAATCATGTGTGACAGGGGCCTGACTCCTTGGCAAAGTCGTCTATAAAGTTGCCCAATTTCCCTTAAAACGCCTTTCCCTCCACCAAAACATTGACACACTGTCGCTGCCCTGTCGTCGATGTCGACACTGCTCTGGATCCCTCTACATTCGACACTGCCGTAGTGCCTGCTGACGGCGCTGCTTCCAAGAAGAGACAACGCTTAGAATCCACTTAATTCCTCTCACTCTGGTGATGAATTTGACTACGCTGCAACCGCGGATACAAGCATCACTGAGGGCGAGGCCCGAGGAGGACTAGGGGAGTATGAGGAGTACGAAGAGTGCAACTACGACAGATGTGTCCTACCACACAAGAAGCGAACTGAAAGAGCGAGCTGCAGCTCTACACTCCTCAACGTAAAACCAATCTCAGCCCCCTCCATAGCTTATTCAGGCTAACTCTATCCAACATGTAACAGCTGCAGACCGCACCAGAGCGTTCAACTTCAGGGGCCAAGTATATGAGGTGCCGTGTTACGACATGTCTGTATATAGCCGGCCTCCATTGCGTGTATAATATGGTGCGCGAGAGCCAGCGTGCGGTAGGACGTGATGGCAAAGAACAGCAAGGCATCTGATTTGGTCATCGGGTTTGGTGCGACGGCTGAGAACAAGCAGCCTTTAGGGGCTACTTGGAGATAGGTGGCATCGATGTGGTAGAGGGGCTGGAAATGATAGTTAGCGTAGAAAGCCCACTCTGTTTGTAGGTGATGAATATACCACGAAAGGGGTGAAATAATTTTACGTTGATATCTTGATGCCCTGTACCGTACCTTCATTGGACGAAACGGGGGGAATGTTCCCACACGCTCTCCCTCAGTACAAGAATAAATTAAGAATTGGCAGGTTGTCTTTCCGGTCAATTCGAATCGGTTTGTTGGTTATATTGTAGCCTGTGTGTTGGAAGACAGTACACGTTGTGTAATAACTCACGCAATTATAAGCACGATATCAGTCCACACTGGCCGAGGTCAGCCTGAGTGACCGATACTTTTTCATAAGAAAGAGGTAAAGGAAAATGCCAGTCCTAAGTACACTTCCTAGTTCTTTACCTGTTATAGGAACTACGGAATACTGTTCTAAAGACTTAAGACAGTGAGGAATACGAGTGACGGGTTGTGATGCGAGGACGGTCGGGTAACGAAAGGACAAGCATAGGAAGGTATCAGGTAGTGTGGGGGCACGCGGTGTTACCACACTAGTACTATACTATTATGACGGCACGCTTACCATTGGGTGTCTCACCCGGAATAGAATGGGGAGCGGGGCTTACGGCTGTAGGCTGTTCTACTTAGGGAAGTAGGTCTAGGATGATAGTATGGTACAGCCCGATGACTGGCAATTGCAAGGTTCATGGTTACGTGTCGGAATTAGAATGGAGGACGGAACTATGCGGGGGCGCTTTTCTATCTGGGTTATCTTCGGGAGCATTATCTTATTCTATTGTCGTTGTGTCAGTTAGTATTAGAAAGCGGGCCTTGGCATAGGTTCCAACATGTATAAATAGGGCAGGATTCTGCGAAGACTTGAGGGTATCATAAAACCATCAAGTCAAGGGAATCCGGTTTACAATATCATCAGTTTAAACGCTACAGAATTATCGCTTAGCACTAGCCATTTTCCTTAACACTATATTGTACCTTATCCCTAACTTTACTCTTTACCTATCGCATACACTACCAAAAAGTCTTGATAAGACAACTACTCGCTTAAACCAATACTCTGAGTATTTTGCTTAGTGGCGGATAGTCACCGTGCTCTCAGTAGAAGAATAAGCGCTTAGTCTATTAGAAAAGACCAAGGTACTATATGCACCCCCGAGTGGCAACAGCAGCCATCAACAACTACCTTTGCGCTACATCCTTCATCGTTCGAAGAGGAAGCGCCGAACATCTATACTGCGGATACCTTCACTACTCAGGTTTCTTCGCAGAAGCAGGAACCACCGCTACCTTCGAGGAACACGATCCCGAAATCCTCAACTACCCAGAACTCTTCCCAATCAAGATCACTCTCTCCCAACAGTCTTTCGGACTCGCTCATCCAGCCCCATGGTTCATTGCTCAACCCTGGTGCAGAAGGCATCCACAGCTCAAACTCGAGCAACTTAGCAATGTCAAGGGCTCATCAGCAACGGTCGGAGGAAGACTACAACATGGAGAGTTCAATCGCCTTGAGAGATCGAGGTATCTTGGAGACCCAAGCGAAGAGGCGCCACAGGAAAGAGAGAGATGTGCCGATAGGCTCCCTCTTCGCATCGACGAGGCAGGAAGAATCCTATGGGCAGGCGAGGAGGCGGCAGGTAGACCACCGGGAGTTCTCCCCATACGTCACCCAATCAGAGAGAGATCCTCTACTCAGAGGCCCTCGGTGTCTCGGGTAATGGACGACGACGAGGATACCAACATGTACGTAGAGGAACGGCGGGTGGAGAACCCTTTTGGCGACCTTATTGGGCAAGAAGTCCAGCGACAAGGGGCCCCCGTGGTGCAACAGCTCAGCCGCGGGATCGAGGAACTCAGCATGCACGTGCGGGATATCCCCATACTCAGGGAACTCACCCGGCAGCAGCAGGGGTATACCAACAAGATCGTCGAGGACCTCCACGCCAATTTCGCTGGGGACAGAGCCGAACGCGACAATCAGCTCAACCAGGTCATGGCTCAGCTACGAGCGGAATCCACCGCCGCTACCAGCAACCTCGGCCAAGTCCTTGGGCAGATCGTGGAAGCTACTAGGGCTCATCAGGAAAGGCAGGAGCGACAGGATCAGCACATAAATGCGCTGACCAACTTCGTTCAACAACTCCCGAAAGATGGCCCTGTGCAGATACCCGCGGAGGTTATAGCTACCCTCGAAAGGATGGAGCGGGACAAACAAGCTGCGATGGAAGACCAGTTCGCAGGCACAAAGAAGAACCTGGAGGAGATCATTGAGCAGATGCGGGTAGCAGCCAATAGAATGGCAGCGGCCCCCGAAGGCTCAGGAGGCGGTGGCGTAGTACCCCCCCAACCTCCACAGAATCCCCCCAGCAATTCCGGAGAGAGACCGGAAGGATCAGGGAGCCAACCTCCCGTACCCCCTCGCTCTGAGGCAAGGAGCCAGCAAAGTGAACAAGAAGGCAGGGGAGGCAATGGCAGTAATGGCAATGGCGGAAACCGCGCAAGACCACGAGAACCATCCCCCTCAGACTCATCCAGCTTCTCTGATTCAGAGGACGATCGTCGAGCACGCGAACGAAGGCAGAGAAGACGGGAGGAGCGAAGACGCCGTAACAGGCAGCAAGGGGTAGACCTCATGCACCCCCTCGCGCCACCCTGGGAGATACGCCAAAACAGGCAAAAATCCCCTTCTCCGGAAAAGCCGACGAAGACGTACGACACTGGATCGACCAAATGGAAGTCTTAATTGAACTTCAGAGGAAAGTCCGGTGGGACGACCAAACCAAGATCCTGTGGGCATCCCTGGAACTTACCGGGAGTGCGGCAAAATTCTGGCGAAACTTCGTGGAGCGACTATCGGTAGACCCCAGCATCGGAACATGGGAGAATTTCAAAAACGAATTACGGATTCAGTACGGCAATCGAACAAGTCAAGAACAAGCCAAGCAGAAGATGGATAGGCTCCGTCA